AAGTAAAAAACGTCCTTGGATCTTGTGCACCTTTGAGGAACCCTAAGACCTATTCTCTGCAAAATTTGAGGCGAATCTATCATTCCGTTTACAATCTTGAAAAGAAAAACCAAATCGAGCATTAAACGACGATTTTCTAATGTTGGTATATTAAGTAATTTTAAAATATCACAATACACTATATCTTCTGAAGAAATTCCTAATTTATAGCCGACAAAGCGCAAAAATTTTTTCTGAACTTTCTCAATGCTTTCAATATGACATTTATATAAAGGAGACCAAATAGTGCTGGAATATTCCAGAACTGATCTAACCATAGAACAATACACACTTTTAAAACAATCTAGATTATTGAATTCTGACAAGGTTCTTTTCAAAAATCCAAGTAATTTAAAAGCTTTATTACAAATAAAATTATAGTGATTTTTGAAACATAAAGTGGGATCAAAAAATACACCTAAATCTTTAAAAGTGTTTGTTGGTTCCAGAAATATATTATTTATAGAGTAATTAAAACAAATAGGTTGTGAGTTTCTGAAAAAGCGCATTATTTTACATTTATCGATATTAAGTGAAAGGTCATTCTTTGTACACCATTTTGAGAAATTATTTACATCTTTTTGCATTTTTACACAGTCTCTAACATCCTTAATAATTCTAAAAATTTTCAAATCATCAGCATACAACAAAATATCACAATTTTCAAAGATTTCTAAAATGTCATTTATGAAACAAATAAAAAGAATAGTCGATAAATGACCACCTTGTGGGACGCCAGACCTAACCAGAATCTCTTCAGAAAGACAGTTTTTGACTTTGACAACCTGAAGCCTGTCTGTCAGGTAGCTCTCCAACCACTCAAGCAGGGATCCATGAATTCCTAGTACCTCTAGTTTTTTTATAAGAATCTTGATGTTAACACGATCAAATGCCTTTGAGAAGTCGGTATAGATCACATCGACCTGAGCCCCCTTCCCAAAGGCATCCAAAATGAATTCTTCTAGGATCACTAGATTGGTGGTGGTAGACCTACCCGGCATAAAGCCGTGTTGTTCAGGAATAATTAAACTTTTTATTGGAAAAAATATTTTTGAAGCAATAATTGACTCAAAAATCTTTGCAAAAATAGAAATTTTGGAAATGGGTCTGTAATTTTCTATACATGTTTTACTACCATTCTTAAAAATAGGAGAAATATAACTTTTTTTCCACTCTTCTGGGAAAGTGCCAGTATTTAATGAAAAATGAAAAATTTTTAGTAATACAGGAGACAGAACAAAACGACATTTATGTACAAAATAAGGTGAAATTTCATCAGGGCCACTACTAAGTTTTAGATTTAATTTTTCTAACTTATTAAAAACATCTATTAGACTAATATCACAGCTGCTTAAACTAACTGTTTTATTATAATCAAAGCTTGGAATATCACAGTTATTGTTGTCTATATATGACTTAGAGAAATGCTGTTTAAAAAAATTAGAAATTTCTGATGGATTGTTTGACTCATTGTTTTCATAGGTCATGTTGCTTGGTAAGTCATAATGTTTATTTTTACTGTGTACATAACTCCAGAATTCTTTGGAATTAGTCATATTTTGTTCCAAAGTTTTTATGGCTTGACTTTTACATTGCTCAGCTAAGACTTTACATTCACTACGAATGTCTGAGAATAGTTTATAGTCAGAAAAAGTATTAGTATGTTTGAATTTTTTATGAGCTACTTTTTTTCTCAGAATAGCATTTTTCAGTTCAGTTGAATATGATTTTGGAAATTTTGGGTTTTTACATTTTTGCCCTGGTACATATAAATCTATGCAACAGTACAAAATATCATAAAAACAGGATATTGCTTTATTAACATCTGAAATATTGTTGAGTAAGTTCTCCCAGTTTACATTACCTAAAAATTGGTTTATTAAAATATAATTAGCCCTAGTAAAATCGTAATAATAATAATCATATTCAAGGAACTCAGTTTTATCACAATTAATACAGAAAGAAAGTGCTGGATGGTACTTATCACAGTTTAACAAAGGAAAATCAACACATTTGACATTTACAACATTATTTGACAATATTAAATCCAAATAACCTCCTAAAACATTCGATATTGTATTATTTTGAAATAAGTTAAAATAAGCAATAAAATTTGACATACACTCAACAGATTCTGTAATATTACCAACTGGTCTTGATCCTAGATCTTCATTCTCCCAAACTATGTTTGGTAGATTAAAATCACCCACTATATAGGACATTGAAAAGTCATTATTTTGAATAATATCTTCAGTTGCCATAATAAAGTCCTCATAAACGCTTAATGGCGATGATGGTGGTATATATACACAGACAAAAAGGATTTTTTGATTTGATGTTTGCAATTTTACATAAACACTTTCAATGTTGGCTGATTTTGAAGTGATTACTGAAGAAACAAATTCCTTTTTTACAGCAATTAGAGCACCACCCAAACGTTTAGCTGTACTGGTATTTTCATTTCTATCCCCTCTGTATATATTGTACTCTGGAACTCCTAATTCTCCATCCTCTATACCATCATACAGAGAGGTCTCGGTTAATAGTAGCACATCATAATCGTTGGCAATAACAGATGATGAAAAATCATTTAATTTGGTGCGGAGACCTCTCACATTTTGATAATAAACAGAAATTTCCGAGTTACTCCTACTTGATTGTCGTCTATCTCTTAGTTTTCCGATAAAGAAACTCCTGAGTTAAAAACTCTTCTCTTGAAGTTAAAACGTCTAAAAATGATTCCTTTAGGCCAGAAGTCACTAGTATTGACTTCATCATAAAATTCTATAGGTAGGCCTACTTTAAAAGAGCAAGTATTGCCCACGGTTTTTAGTTGCTCCACCATCACATCTTCAACCTTGAGGTTATCCAATTTTCTTTTTATATAATTCTTGATAATGTCATTCGTGACTGTTTCTGCAGCTTTTCCTATGTAAAGCCACATTTTGCTAGGATTCGCGGCTACAAAATTAGCGTCTTCGCTTCCTGCACCTTTAGTCGATGTATATTTTTGTGTATTGTTTACATTTTGCGAGAGATTGTCGACATTTTGTGTTTTCTTTAATGCCGGTTTCTGCGCATGTGTCGTTGCCATAGAGATGTTAGCAGCGTTGGTCACAGCATGAGCAACTTTGTTGGTGCTGGTTGTTACTTTTTGTGATATCGGCGTATATGAGACAGGCGGCCGCGATGTTGTCACGTCTTTGATTTTGTCTTCAATAGATCCCAATCTTAAATTTAGGTCCTTATTAGATTTATCAACATCAGTCATACTATTCTGAATAGTTGCTAGAGATTCAATGAACTTATCCACATTTGAAGCGTAGTTTGCAGACACAGTTTGTATAAGGTTGTCAAACGTGTTTGCAGTTTTTTCATTGTTTGATTCAATACATTCTGTCACTGCGGTTGAAATCTGTTTGAGCAGAGGTTCTACTGATTTTACGACAGCAATCGAAATTTCTTGGACGTCATTTTGGCTGACTTGCTTACTTGCAGCTTCAGCTGCGGCTTTTTGTTCTTTTAGAGATTTTAAATTTACCTTATATTTCTCTATTTCTTTGTTTTTGGCTTCCAACTCAATTTTCAGTAGTTTCAATTGCTCCTTCAGTTTATCTATCACAGCATCAGGTTGTTGATATTCTTTTTGGCATTGGTCTGAGCAGAATATTTTTTGCCCCTCCACAATTTCCCAATCCGATCTTCTTTCCAAACAACTCGGATGGAAAATATAAGCACATCTTATGCAGCAATAGTTCGAGAAAGTTTTATTTTGACAACACTTAAACATTTTAAGAATTATCAACTGTAAAATTTGGCAACGCCGAAATTAACCTTTAAGAATCACGTTTCTTGAAAACTACTTTTATACCGTATTTTTACTGTTTGCGATAAAATTTTTCTCTGGGATCACTTTAGAACATCCAAAAAACAACTTTAGCACACAATTCACTTATTTTCTATACTTTAGACTACTAAAAAAGCACTATTAATGATGAGAGATTTTTCTTGCTGTCATGTATAACTGTCATGCCATACTACCTGTTTTATATGAAAATATTAACCAGATATTTGTAAACAGCCTTGTGTCTTTAGTGGTATATTTGTTTGTATAATATAATGTTTGTCCATGTTTAATACATATCAACATGTGGAGGATGACCTCAGAAGGAAAGACATAAATTTAGTAGCAGAACGTTAAGAGTTGTAAATAAGAGACTTTATTAAACAAACGATACTTAGCAACCCTCTAAGGTAAGCCAATTAGACGATTGAGCCTATAGTTACCTTCAACTAACCTTATAGAAGAAATAAATATACAGTTCACAAGCTATCGAAGAAGCAAAAGATCCAAGGGGTGAAGCTATTCCTGATCTTAAGCACCCTGCTCGATCTTGAACACTAACAATATAGAGAACACCCAAGGCTGTAGGAAGGAAACATGCTCTAGATGCATGGGAACAGAATCCCTAGAAAATTACTAAATGCAAGAAAAAAAATTTTTGGAATACCAAATAAGAGATACGATGCTGAAGTAGATTGAGGCACCAAAAATCTCCTAAAAACATGTTCGCTAAAAAGCAATACATTGAGATCTTTGAAAAAACTTTAAAAGAGGCAAAGATTTGACTGGGCCGTAGTACCATTGGATGGATATATTGCCCAGGCAGGTAGAAACATTTTATTGCGTTCCTCAGAAACAGTAAAACATACTTTCGGATTGAACTTATGTTGAAATTAGACACTTCTTGTAACATCTTTAGATTATATAATTGCATAAGAACTTATCCTTATAATTCCTGTCCTATCTCTTGTAATACAAATTTATTTAGTAACATTTTTGTAAAATTCATACAGGTAATTGTTTTGCATACAAAACTTTAGGTTGCTATGTCTGCCACAGTACTAATACACAACAAAATTAAAAGAAAGTTGATGCACCCATCAAGGAAACAAGCTAATCAATACAACAAATTTATTAAATTCTTTATAATCACAAAATTTTCTTTAAAAACTAGACACACCAATAACATTATGACCCCTTCAAGTTATCAGATTTTGTAGGCCCAGGACCTATTAGCTCTGTTTCCCGTTTAATTTCAAGTTCATTCTGTATTTTTACTAATTTTTCTTTCTCTTTAATTTGTTGTAACTTCAAAGCTCTCTTTTTTAATTTAACACTTCTTTCATGCAATTGCTTCATATCTTTCTTGATATTGGTTAATTTACCATGATATAGATTCATTTTTTTAAACATGTCCTGTATCTCTGGCGAATATTGTACTTCTGCTAAATCTAAATTTTCTTGGTGTATTTGAGTTACCAACACAGTTTGTTTACTGGTAAGTTCCTTTAGTTGACTTTTTACATTGGTTAAAGCAGGTTTATAAATAGCGAGCAGGCCTTCAGAAAGATTCTGTACAGAATCATTATAAGGATTGATTTCTGAAGTACTCAACATAGTTAGTTACTAAAAAATAATTATAAAAAGGCTACTTGTACATTATGTAAATAAACAACGAAAATGAAAACAGGAAATCTAACCTGTTTGTTTGTCAGTGACAGTGACGTTTAAAGAAAACTATTGTGAAGTTGGCAACGTGTTCATAAATTCACATCAGGCTGTGCCGTGGCGGAAAACCCTATCGCGGCACCACACTTTGCTATTTGTTATGCGGCATCGTTATATTCGTCCAAATATTCGTTATTGCTCAAGAAATAACAAAAATACGCAGTTACTTTAATGACAGTACAAGCTGAACATAGCTGCAAATGTCAACCATGGAACAAAATATTTCGATTTGGCAGTATTCTGAAATTCTGTGTCTGAAGCCTTGCACCTTTGCTTGCACGTTCCTTGTAGATGGAAGCCATCGAGCAAAAAGATAAAAGAGGGAATCTAATCGTTATGAAAAGGAGACCAAAAAAGTGGCCTCTGATGGCGGACATATCCGGAAATGCAAAGGCGCTAAATTTAAATTTTCCAACACTTATTAACAATAGCTATAAAATATTTTTCAGACGAGAAAGTTTTAATTAAATATTAACTATAATAGTCTAAAAAGTGACACAATTGGTAAAAGATTTCAATATAAATAAAATTTCATGTGACAGTTGGGACAAACAATAACATAACCTAACTAAATTTGACTTCTTAAACAAGGAAAGAGACTGTCTATCCTTGTCTAAAGTGGCCTCTCAAGATGGCACTTCCTGTCTATCAATATGTTTACCCCCACTACCTTTACATTCCCTCTTTTGTCTTATTGCTCGATGATGGAAGCACAAGTCAGTTTTTTATGACAAACAAACAAAATGTCAAATAGTAATTGTCACTGTCAATTAATAGGTTAAAATAAATATTGAAAAAAGTAGAAATAATAATTATTTATATAAATATATTTAAAAATGTCTCACACTCAATTTATGGACGAAATGATTCGAGAATATTTATTATACAGAGGGTTTGGTTCAACTTTAAAAGCATTTGATGCAGAATTAAAAGCCGATAAAATGAAAAGCTTTAGGGTGGACAAAATAATAGATCAGTTAATATTTTTTATTAACAGCTATGATCTTAATTCACTCAGGGAGTTGTGGGGTCATTTAAATAGGCACATGTTTTCCAAATTGGAGAGCAATTTTTTGCCAAGTAGGTATAGCAAATTCAATTTTATTTGCTTTAAATTTCAGCTTTAAATTGTAGGTATAAGAAAATTAGAAAACGAAGTTTTGAAAATGTACTTGGTAAACACAGTATACAATAATAAACCTGAAAAAATGAATGATTTCTTTCTGAAAATGACACCAGAACTACAAAATCAGAATGAATGGAAAGATTGGTTTGGTAAGTACAAAAAAGTGGGTGTCATAGACATCCATTATTGGAGTTATACAGTTTTTTAAATGTTATTTCTCATTATATTTTTAGTGTTACCATATGTTAAAAACCCAGAAGAAAATCCAACCTTTGCTCTTCATTTTACAAAGCAATGGCAAGATAAAGTGTTAATCTCTCTTCATAATTTTTTAGCAACAATAATTCAGGTAAGATTTCTGGATTTCCCCAAAAACATGTATTAATAAAACTGTTTTCAGTACATGCCAACTCCCACACTGATGCATTATGAAGAAGATGTCACTAAAATCAACAAACTCGAAGAAAGAAATGATTCTTTGAAAAAACGTTTGGCCCTTCTATTAGATAAAGGCCCACAAGCAAGTGTGACTCCATGTCAGGTGGAACCTCCACCTCATCTACTGGATGACTTTTATGTTATAGCCCAAGAAAATAATTTGGGAGAAAGTCAGGCTCGCAGTTTAAGAAATATTATAAAAAATATGAGTAGTAGTGCTAGTCCAATTTTAGGTAGAAAAGATGTGATAAATAAGAAAAGGGTTGGGAAATAAATACCAAAGCTGGTTTTCGAGCTTCTTTATATATAAATCTGTGTATTTTGTTAATGTTGTATGAATATATGTGTATATGGTTCATTGAGGATAGAAATTAAGAATAAAACTCAACATATAATATATATCTGTCTTTATCACTATATAAAGCAATATTTTCTAGTTTGTTCTATGTTGTATATTTCATATAGTTTCATGGATACTTAATTAACCAAATGGAACACTTATTCGCTGTGTGCAAGTACTTCCAGGGGATACAAGACACAATAGTGCACTTTAAGTGGCAAAATCCTACATTTTTATTAGCATATTTCATTAGTACTATCATTGAAGAAAATGGAATTTCACAAAGGTATTGTAAAAATACAAAAAGAAATAGTCAATTCAAGTTTCATTTGTTTCCAAGCAAAAATTAATGCAAATATAAGAGTAGATTTCTAATATAAATTACAATAATTACTGTATTAAATAAACAAGTCTGTAATTTTATTTGCAGTTTACTAAAAAGTTCGCTGATCTATGATACTAGGTGTCGTTTTTCCGAACTTGCACATAGCGAATAGAACATGATTAATTTTGTAACACTAGAAGTGTATAAGGTTTAGTAAATTTTTATTTCTTTCTCTACAAATTTTTTAGTGACTACTCTCATTTCGAACCCTTATTATTATTATTATTATTTGTTGACTAGTCTTGCAGCCTTGGAGATATATTCAAGTAGTATTCTTAATACTATTAGAGCCAGTGTAATCCATGGTGGAAATATGTAATAAATAAAACAAACAAACAATTCAACAAAATATATTTTATATAAAATATGTTACATTCATAATTACAAACTTAAAGCTTTCAACACATAAATATATACAAAATCATTATCAACTGGGACATGTATTCTACATTTTGTACACTATATTTAAACTCGTTTTAGGACTAATTGTCTTAGCATAAAACATAACCTTCAATATCATTAGGCCAAGGGGATTACTGGTGTATGATGTATGTATTAGTACACCAGTGTGGATCTGTGAAAAAAACTACATTTGGATGTGATAGACAGCATTCGGATTTTTGCAAAATAAGTTGTTTGATAATAATTAACTTACCCCCCCCTCTCAAATAGGTAGAGAATATTAATAAAAACATTAAAATATTTAAAAATTACTAAGAACATAGTTTTTTTTCTATTTTCCTTGCTTATAACTTTAAAATTCATTTTGGAGCAAAGTCAAGAGAAAAATGGCAATAAATACATGAAAAGAAGGAGAAACAAGCCCTTTCTTATTCAATGTGTTTCGAAATGATTCTTTTAAAGAAATTATTACTGTAAAATGAGGTAAATAGTAACAAAACTTCCAAAATAGTTTTATGTCACATTTCAGTGGTAACACAAAAGTAATGGTAAAGTGGTAAATTTCTGGTTGCAAGTTGATAACACTCTAAATTTGAAGGAAAAAAAAAGTTTATGTGGTTGGCAGCATTGAGAGTCAGATTTATTGCAAGAATAACACGTTTTGTTTTAAGCAGATATCTCTTCATCTTCTAAACTTTACATGTAAGTATCATATCCATATCCTATCATGTTATGTTCTTGATTTGTACTATTTCTTTAGTGTTTCTTTACTTTCAGCATGCCAAGGAATTACAAACCTGTGAAACCAAAGAAAATACAAGATTCAGAATTTCTTCAGAAAGCTGTAGTAGAGATATTCAATGGTCTCAGCCTCAGAAAAGCAGAGTAAATATAGCATCAGCTGTAGTGTTCTTTATAGACATTTCAGAAAGGGTGATCATCTAAAAAAGAGGGAGAGACAAACTACTTTGACTGAAGAGGAGGAAAAAACTTTGGTGAGTTGCCAAATTATTTGCAGTTAATGGGGCTATCCCATTGAGTCGTTTACACTGAGACTTTTAATTAACGATTTTCTTGATCGCGAAGGAAGGACCATAAAGCGATTAAAAAAAAAATTACCTTGTCGGGAGTTTGCCTACTCTTTCTTAAAAAGGCACCAGGCTAGCTTGTCATTCCAATTATGCCATAACATAAAACGAGCCAGAGCAGCCATATCTCCGAAAACAATTAATGAAAACGTTGACAGACTTGGAGTAAAACTGGTTAACATTCCTCCATTGAATATAATCAATTATGACGAAACTAACTTAATTATCTGATGATCCGGGCAGAAGTTAAATAATAGTTAGACGAATTCTACTAAAAACTCCATCTCAGTGATGTTTTCTGCTACTGCTGATGGTCAAATTTTGCCCCCTTATGTAGTTTATAGAGCTCTATGTATGAAAGTTGAAGAGAGGGCGGTCCTGAGGAGTCAGGACCAAAAGTGGTTGGTTTGGCAACTTCTGTTTTTCAGATTATATCGAAACCATCATACTTCCATTGTTTAGACGATATGACGGTAAAAAACACTTAATCGGAGACAAATTTGCTAGCCACCTGTAACATGATATCATACAAACATGTTCAGAGAACAATGTTCATTTCATATTTCTACCAACAAACTCGACGCATCTAACACAGCCGTTAGATATAGTATTCTTTTGGCAAATGAAAATTGCAAGGTGGGCAATTGTTGCTGATAGAAAAAAGGACCTGGCAGCAGTAGCGCACCTAGAATTTTCATGTGGTAGGGGTTTTGATTGGACACCGAAATTTTTTTTATGCTACCTCCATTTTAAAGCCTTAAAATTTGTGAGTAACAGTGTCAAAATAGTTTAACCCCCAAAACCCCCTCTGGGTGCGCCGCTGCCTGGCAGATATGGAACTACTATACAACAGAGAAGTTCCCTAGTTTACTAAAAAACTATGTGAATTGTGTAAATCAGAGAACATAATTGCTGGTTTTAGAAATTGTGGTATTGTGCATCTTTGTTGCAATCAAGTACTAAAGATGATACCATCTATAGATGATTCAGGAGCCACAGCAATTATTGACGACACTTTCAAGGAATTCCTGAAAGCTCTCAGACAATCAGAAGCAACTGCACCTCGTAAAAAACGTATGAAAGTTTCTCTTGAGCCTAGAAAAAGTGTTTGTGTGGCAAATGTTCCAATTCCAGAAGATCCAGTTCAGGTCGAACCTACCGGTGGTGCTAGTACAAGCACTGGCAATGGGAGTTCTAGTATGTCTAAAATAAAATAACAAGTAGGTCAAAAAACCAATATGGAAAAGTAAAAAACATAAAAACGTTAATTCCTCATCTCAAGAAGAGTCAAGAGTACTCTCTCCAAGATAGTGATGCAGAATTTATTCTATCTGACCCCGAAGAATCTGATCTGGCAAACTATGGTGAACAAGTTGACAGTAACCTCCAGGTTGATGACTTTGCAATTGGGAAGGTATATGGGAAAACTAAAAATGTGTTTCGAATATACATTAGCAAAATCTCTCGCCTTGAAGACAATGGTTATGTTGGAATTTTTTACAAGAAATCAATTTCTAACAACACATTTTTACCAACTGAAGAAGATTGCTTTTTCCTGAAAGAAGAAACTCATGCCGCCAGTTGAAGCATCTAAGTCTTCCTCCTCTGGTATGAAAAGAAGCATTAGTTTCTTTGACGATCTCAGTAACTTTACCATCTATTAATTAAATTAACTTGACTAGCAATGATTCATTTTGTCATTTGTAAATTTATATTTGGTCATTTATAATTTGATATTTACATTACATAATTTTTTTTATCAAAATAAGTGTTGTTTCTTTTCACCCCATGACAGTGCTGACTGCAGTTGAAATATAATTGGAAAACAGTGTCGGTTTCTATTCACCCCACTCAATGGAGTGAACATAAACAGGATGTTTTCATTTTTTTAAAAATTTTCCTTGTACTTAAAAGAAAAAACAATGGTTTGTCGAGAAGTCGAGGATTGCAAGGCCCATAAACCAAGGTAGCTTTCAATTCCTTACATCTCTCATAATACTTATTTATGTTCCGAATGCCACCTCTCACATCCACCTTAAAACATATCCGCCCTTGTCTATAGGACAAGTTGAAATATCGATCTGAGATATAGATGGCACTGACACAAATGTATTAGTGTCATGTATAATTCATTTTACACCATTGTTGTGAATTGATTTCCACGTTATTGGATTAATTAAATAAGACTTTTTGGATCCTTTTAGACAGAAATTCTTTTTGTTTCTGAAATGTTTCAAATGTAGTTCTACATAATTTGTGTAGGTAATTTTGATCCCTGAAAGGAAAAAGGATCCAACGATATAAATATAGATTAAAATGGCACAAATGGAAATTTTATTTGAATATCAAGGGTGGCCAAATTAGATATTTTATCTCTTTCGCAACTTCACCGAGAAGTATGTGGACCTCACGAAATTTTAAAGGCGAAGTCCTCCAAATGACTAGCATTCTACGTAAACCCTCTTTCTTCTTATCGCTTTAAACGTCATCGACATGACAAAACTAATAGACTAATTCGTTTAAAGGAATGATTCTCACCGTTTCAGTTACATGAAACAATATCTCGACTTCTAGCAAGAAAAATGCTACCTAGTATAATATTTTTGCTAACGATGCAAATCAAATATTTCAATCAATAGCGGTTCTACGTCTGTAGGATTGATATTCAAGTAGACGCTGATGAGTTCCTCGTTGACTCTTCTGACGTCCCCAAGTTTTTGCATCAGTTTCAAGAAAACTGATTTGGCTTCGCATCCGGGATAGATGCTTTCAAGGTACCTTCGCAGAAGGTAGTAATAGGCATTCTGAAACAAAAAAAAGTAAATTTAATGATATAATTTACGGTTTATGGAGAGGTGTAACTCGACGAAATCAATAACAGATACGTCTTGCGATGTTGCCAAATATTCAATTCGTGTTCCTTCCTATGCAATTTATAGTCTGGGAACTAGATTAGAACACACGATTAAGGATGAAGGAGACTTTCGTGAGGTTCGAGAAGGAAGCAGAGAAGATGGGGCTCCAAATCAACGAAAACAAGACGAAATATATGTATATGAGCCGCAATAACCTAAGCAGAGTCAGAATCGGTCAGAACATTACCATCGATGACTTTAACTTTAAGCGCGTTAGAGAATTCAAGTATCTTGGAACAACAATAACTGAAGACAATAACGGATCACAAGAAATAAACAACAGGATTCAGGCCGGCAACAGATGTCTTTTTGCCCTCCAAAACCTTATAAAATCAAAACAACTCACACGACGTACGAAGATACAGGTCTATAAAACAATCATACGACCCGTTGTGATGTATGGAAGCGAAACGTGGACAATAACAAAGGCAAACGAAGAGGCACTATGTGTTTGGGAAAGAAAAATCCTAAGGAAGATCTTTGGTCCGGTGCTGGATGAAGCATCAGGACAATGTAGAATAAGAACTAACAAAGAGCTCGAAGAACTTTACGTTCTCTTATGGAGGTTGCTCAAGACAGAAAACAGTGGAGGCATGTTGTCGAGTCGGCTAAAATCCACGAAGGGTTGTAACGCCACGGAGTAAATAAGTAAGAACTAGATAGATTAGAGAAATTTGTGTATAGAGAAATAGACAAGTTTGTGTATTTGAATAATGTACAAATGTTTTGTCTACTGTCTAAATACAAAATCTAAGACTTGACCAAACTGTCGTTCTCTTCGTCGACTTTTATCCATCCTGTTAGGGATCAAGGGATAATCTAAAATTTAATTAAATCTTTTAATAGTTCTTATAAAAAAGGGGAGGCTACTGTAAGCGTATGTGATAAGAGCTACCAGTTAAGCTAGGTCACAAAATGCATTTATCGTCAACAAGGCTGTATGGATCACTAATTGAATATCATTTAAATAAAGGTATTACTCAGTACAGTGGTTTTTTTGTTGTGCCTACACAGTGCTTATCACAATAACTTGCAGTTTAAGTCAAAAACAGTAGCCTTTGACTGTGAACATGAACAGCATCGAAGCATTGGAAGTGTGGAGTCATAGATGGATGCTGAAAATACCTTCGACAGCAAAAAAAAACCAATCAGGAAGTACTAAGGAGGGTCAACAAAGATAAGGAATTACTAAAGACTGTTAAACACCGGAAAATGTCTTATGTGGGAAATATAGTCAGATGGAATTGATATAGGCAAACAATTGATCATTAAAGGCAAAATAGAAGGCTGTAGAGGTGTAGGAAGAAAACATGTTTCTTGAATGGACTCAGGTGTCAAATGCAGGATAATTATTCCATGCGGCAGAAGATCGAGACGCCTTCGCTGTGGTGATCGCCAACGTTGGGTAATTTTGATATGGCACATAAAGGAGAAAAGTCTACACTCTAGGCTTATCTGTGTCCTCCTCCTCCACGATGACTGTGATTTTGAAACAACGAAATAAGACAGAACAAACTAGTTTTTTAAAAGACTCTCTGGTCAAAAAGGAAACATAGTCTCTAATCCATAGGTATAAGTTAGAGAAGTGTTGGAGTATGGAAGTGCTATACAATTTCCTCTCTAATTTTATAGAAATAGAGCTTCTCTTCTGTTTATTTCAGCACCTAATTTGATTTTTTCAGCTTCATGACATGTCTAAAGTATCCATAGTGGTCACATTTTCTATTATACGGTTTTTTAGTGCTAAATTGTGTTTCGATATAATTTTTTTTAGGTCTACCTTTCCAGATACTCACTTAGTTATGTAACATTTTTTTGTCAGGTCATGGAGTTAAGGAATAAGAGTTTCTACATTGTGAAACGAAGTGCATCCTATCTTCCAATTGTATGGCGCACTGGACGAGTTTTACATATTGTAGTCAACAGTAAGGGGTATGAGTGGGAACACAAAGCTTATTAACACTTCTTAAATTATTGGCTTCAATCATCAACTGCCACATTCCTAATAGAAGCCTGCATAATTAGCATATTGAGCCATTTAGTTCCATAAGGAGTAACCAGACGTTTTCTCAGTGGTTAATTCACAAAGACGAAATAAGACTAGCCATAAGAAAAGCTAAGAATAACAAATCTCCAGGCGAAGACTTCGAAAATCGGAGGTACTTGCCTTCTTAAGAAAATAAAAAACTTTTTTAACATGTACCTTTTCAACAGTAATATATCCGACAAATGGCACAATGCTTAGGTTAACATAGCTGAGGCTATTGTACAAACAAGAAGATCCCCATAAATTAGAAAACTACAGACTTATAAGTCTTTTTAGTCACCTATACAAACTCCTTACAAGAACAATGAGGAATCGTCTTAAGAAAAAACTTGATTTCTACTAGACAATAGAGCAAGCGGGATTTCGTACCGGATTTGGAACAAATGATCACCTACATAGCATTAAAACTTAAAAGGCGAGGAACAGAGACAACTGGAGAAACATTCGGAGCCTAGAATCCCCACAGGGTTGTGAAGCCAGTATGTTGATGAAGATGAATTCACAAAGAATTCTTCTTAAATATGCTTGATTTCTCTTTTTAGTTTGTGTGTAGCATTGTGTGAACTAGTTTTATCTAGTTTCTAGTCATATGCCAGTTCCTTTACAGTTTTCTTTCACCAGCAAATGTAAAGGTAAAATAAACATCATGTTATAAACCCTTTCTGTCTTAAATAAAGAAATCGTATAGAGAAAATTGTACTGATCATTCACCAGCTTTCCGTCATTCGATATAATGTGTCAATTATCGTATATTCTTGTGTCGTAATGCCCTAATCTAACGTTGTCAAAGACGTTTAATTCCATATTAAATAGCCAATATGTTGACTTTTTTAACCTCCAACGGTGTAACTCTTTTGTTATGTCTACACATATGTCAAAAGAGTTATCCAAAGTTGGTAAAAATGCTTACCCAGACACCCATTGACGCTGGTCAACGTTAAAGATGGTCAAAATCAGTAGTTAACGAAGTAAATATCTAGAAGAGACACAAACAGTGCCTGGTATGTAACTTTTGCAACTGATCGTAACAGACGCAAATAAAAAAATCGCATACCTTGTTTTTTGTTACTTGGTGAAAAATTCTTCTAATAATTTAATTTTATCTGACTCATTTATATTGACAATTCAGACATATATTATATATTTATAAAATAAAGAATTTGATGGATTTCAAATATGTAACAACGCATGGGAAAATGAACATACGGTTCAACGGAACGATTCAAATAAATTCCTAAAAAAAAAACAGATGGTAAAAAGAGAAAAATCAAAAAAGCGACTCTTAATTATGCTAAATGAGACCAATTGTTTTTCAAATTCCTCGGCAGAATGCAGTAAGATCTGGTTATCCATATTAAAAGAGGAAGTTAAGAAAAGGAAAATACCAGTATTAGTAAGTCAGTAACATACAGAGGATACACCATTTATGTTTTTTAAATAACGAAACATATAAAATCAGAATTTTGGTGTTTATTGAAGGTAAACTAAATGCACGAACAAATACTTACCATGTCGGGATAGTATTATGAGGTTTTTTTCCTGGTTTTTTCCCTCATAATTTACTATGGAATCACTAACAGAAGAATTTCACTGTCATCATTGCATGTGATTGTCTTTTTAAATACGAATCACATGCTATGATTTTTTCTGATGGATATTCTCGAGTTAAATTGATTTCAAATAATCGAATGAACTATCTTACAATAAAGTCGTCCCAGGAACGCAAACACAATATCATTTTAAAGTCGTTTACCTTAAAATGTATAATATATACCCGAATTGGCAATATAAATGACTCAGATAAAATGAAATTATTAGAAGAATTTTTCACCAAGTAACCAAAAACAACATTTGCTTAATTTATTAATGTTTGTATTTTGGGAACGATTTCAGAAGTAGAGATCGAAACTTCAATAAACCTCTCTAGCAACAAAGAAAAGTCCTTTGACATTATTTAATACTTGCTGATTCAATTAAAGAATATTATCTAGCTACTCTATTCAAAACGAATCTTACCTGTTCTAGTTTTATCACGTCCTGGTGTACAACCTTCGGCCTGTCTGGCGAAAACAAAAGAATCATACATAGTATTAGAATTATATTTTCATCGCCTTTCCAAAGAGGACTAAACGTTTTAATAAACGTTTCGTGTTCGTTGTAGACGTTGCCTTTATTGATTAGCTTGAGTATTTTTGAATTTACCATGAATTTTTCGCTCGTGTGTGGAATCTAAAAGAGAGAAATGTACAATAATTAATTTGTTAAATATTAACATATTAAAAACTCTGTCCAATCATCATTGGGGTGCAGACGGAGACTCCTTACTTCAGGTTTACAGATGTCTTATTCGTTCTAAAATAGACTACTGCAGTTTCATTTATATGTCAGCTAGCCCATCAGATTTAAAACTTCTTAATTCTGTACAGAAGACTGCACTTCGAATTTGTCTTGGAGCCTACAGGTCGAGCCCCGCAGAGAGTTTATACAGAGAAGCTAATGAACTTCCCCTCTGGCTACGTCGCCAGCAACTGCTTTTAAAATATTCGTCTCGAATCTCAGCTAATACTGAAAATCCAGCATATAAATTACTAAGTTATGACATTTTAAACTCTCCTCCTATTAAACTTCAATCTATGCCACATATCTCTCACCACATCTGAATAACATCGATCTTTCAGCCACAACTCCAATATTAATATCACGTAAACCTCCCCGGAAACAATTGAAAGCAGATTTAACCTCTCTTTAACTAATTATAAGCATCAGACAAATCCACAATTTCTAAGGCAAACCTCTAAAGAATTAATTGCTTATAAGAGATTTGACCAAATTGTATACACAGATGCCTCTAAGAGTTCTATAGCTGTTGGATGTGCTGTAACTTCAAACACAGATTTAATCATTCTTTTGCATTTACTTTCTTGGGCAGACAAATAAATGTTGATGTCAGCATTTCACGTGGAATGAATCCTGCGAAATAGATTGTGTTCAGTAGTTGGATTAAAAGATCTATGTTGTTTTTTCATTAACCAGTTTTAGTAATTCACTTGGTATTTCATCTGGACCAGCAGCTTTATTATTTTTCATGGACTTTACTGCATACATAACTTCTGACTTTGTTATTTCGGGTCCCTCGTCTTTACTCTGATTATCTTCATATATATTTTCCTGTCTGGTCATGGAATAATTCCTCTATATATTCTTTCCATCTTCTTAATTTTTGTTCCGTCCCCACTAAAATGAATGTTTCCTTTTTTGTCCAATAGTATGTTTAAGGTGTTTTGTTTGGTTACTCCAGCTAATTCTTATGGAGATTGAAATATTCTCATATTAAAAATTCGATTTATTACGAATTTTTAATATGAGATTATCCCAATTATACAAAGTAAAATATTCTAAATATTTGCAGCTTTGTATATATTTTTATTTGTATATACACAACTTTTGCCAATTATTACCTAGCAATTAGCAATTTATCAATGGCGCTGATAACGTATTACAAAGTTCAACTTAGATTTGCTCGAATGATAAATTTGTTGGCGTTTCTAAAACGATTAAATGATAATGAGGGCACTTAAAAATGTATAATGTTTAGGAATATGCTAATAAACGGAAAATTGTTTTACAAATAAGAGTATTTTATCTTATTATAGATAAATCAAGCGTAAAAAAACAGTCTTGCACACGATAATTGACAGAGATATGTGAAAAAAGGCCAACTGGATAAAATCGTTCTTATCTCGGTTCTTTTTCCGTTTCTATAATTCCCGGTCATTTAATGTTTTACTTGCTTTTTACACCTTTTTTTATCAAATATCTGGTCAGTTAGAGAGTACAAATTAGGAAATATACTCTTTTTTATTTGTTATTCATTGTTTTTTATTTTCTCTGATTCATAAGTAAGTATTTCACCGGTCATCCACGATGTACGTTTCTGTGCATCTTTCTTCAGGTGTTCTTTTATTTCTCTCACTGTTTCTTGTATGAGGCCACAAAGTCACCGAAACCGAACTTCCAGAATATCCAAACAAGACAACCAGACCTCTACAATCCAAAGGACAATGACTAGAAGTAGAAAATGAACGTTTATTTAACACTAGCACTATATCCACGGAAGATCAATCGATAATATCACCCTTTATAGAATGGTGACCAAATATAAGTAATAATAAAAAGTTAACTTAATCTAAACCATAATAAAAGGTATGCCACAGCTTATAAAATGTCTCACTTTTTCTTTAAATCTGCCAATACATTTAAAAGACTGTAATGATGAGTCCAAGCCATCACCGTTAAACCAGCGTGCGCGCGAACCAACCCATGAAGTAGGAGTATATCGACAGTAGAAAGGGCAAAACTAATTACCAAGCTCCGCTATATAAACCGCAACATTTCCTCATAGAGGAGAATCGACAGGTGTTGACTGAAGGTTCTCTTCTTCCCTACTCCGGCTTGTGGACGTTTACAAGTTGTTCCGTCCCATACCGCCGTTACCCGAAGAGAGTGTTGATCTCTTCACTATCCATACTCTGAAGCAGTCGTGTTGAGACTGTCGAGGAGTGTCCTGTTAACCCGAATCACTTAAGGGACGTGTTGAGTTCCTTGCCTTTCTTTGTACCTATCGTCCGCTGTTATTAAATCGATACAACGTTCCCGTAAAATTTCAAATAGACGTTCGCTTGCCGATAAGACTAATTTCATATGACAAGGTCAAACCTAATTTGAATAAATAGGCCAGGTACTGAGAAGACTAAACCAAATTGTATCTTCTTGACTTCAAAGAAAAATACAACATGTTGAATGCACCTACCTCCCAACTTTGTATTTTAGTATCATAGTATATTGCACTTTTGACCATCATCACTTCCGTACACCCTCCTTTCAACAACGCGACTTGGTCTTCTTGACACATATTTCGGAACGCTCCGATTTTCTTCGCCATTTTTATTAACCTTCTAACATAGATTGTCGTCAGATTGATAACGTCGAGTAAGGCAGTTGTGTCCATCTTGTGTCGAGAATTCTAAAATAAAACCAATTTCTCATTAATATTAAAGAGAAAATATTATCTTTGTAAGCAAAGCTTCCAGAAATAGGAGTGTGACATGGCGATTCCCTATCAACTATACTATTCAACATAACAGTAGAAGGAACAGTTAATTCCAGCGGAATTAAAGGAACTATAGCCCACTAATAAACACAAATGACATAGTTCTTATGGGAAAAGATAAAGATAGATTAAAAGAAGCATTAACAATATTGGCTAATGAAGCACGAAAAAGAGGTCTAGAAATTAATGAAGAAAAAACAAATCTAATCTAATCTGCCCTAGGAGAGAAGATAACAAGACGAGAGAAATCAAGATAGACAACTACACTCTTGAAAGAGTTCAACAATTTAAATACTTGAGATTAATTGTGAATGGCAAAAAAAAAGAGGTCATGGAGCTAACACTAGCTGGCAACAAAACATACTGGAGATACCATTATAGCTAATGAAGGACACGAACTTATCCAGAAATACCAAACTAAAAATATACAGAGTTGCAATCAGACCAGTAGTTACATAAGTAGCTGAGACAATGTGCCTAAGAGATAAAGATGAAGATGAAGAATCATGGACCCGATAAGAATGGAAAACGGAGAAATAATGAGAAGAATGAATAAGAAAAATAATGAACACAGAAGGTTAGTTATAATTATTAAAACGCAGAGATTGAAAACCTAGAGGGAGATAGACGGACCAGGCCATGAGAAATATCAAGATCCTAAAAGCGAGAAATTGGGGGGACTTATACACAGATCGAAATAAGTGGAAGAGATATTGTTCTGAAGCTATTTTCTTGTGGCATTGTAAATTAATTACTATTAAACTGGGAATAAGCCATAATTAAAGATAAAAATACGTTTATTGACGTTTCAATTTCCACTTCGGAATTCGTTGTCAAAATACAAACAGTAAATTAAACAAATTTTGTTTTTTGTTACATAGTGAAAAAATTCTTCTAATAATTTAATTTTATCTGACTCATTTATATTGACAATTCAGACATACATTATGCATTTTAAAGTAGACGACTTTAAAATGATATTGCCAATATTGTTGAGTTGCGCTCCTGGGACGACTTTACTTATAAGATAGTTCATTCGATTACATGAAATCAACTTTAACTTGAGAATATCCGTCAGAAAAAAATCGTAGCATGTAATTCGTCTTTAAAAAGACAAACACATGACATGATGACAGTAAAATTCTCCTGTTAGTGATTCCATAGTAAATTATGAGGGAAAAACCAGGAAAAAACCTCATAATACTATCCCGACATTGTAAGTATTTGTTCGTGAATTTAGTTTACCTTCAACAAACATCAAAATTCTGATTTTATATGTTACGTTATTTAAAAACATAAATTATGTATCCTCTATATGTTACTGACTTACTAATACTGGTATTTTCTAATTAATAACTTCCTCTTTCAATATTGGTAACCAGATCCTACTACATTCTACCGAGGAATTTGCGACACAATTGGCCTCATTTAGCATAATTAGAGCCGATTCTTTGATTTTTCTTTTTTTACCATCCGTTTCTTTTAGGACTACATTTAAATTATTCATTTGAATACATTTGATGATATACATTTAAATTATTCCATTGAACCCTATGTTCATTATCCCATGCGTGTTTACAGATTTGAGATCTATCAAATTCCCTATTTTTAATATAAGATTGATGTTCACTTATTCTAACATTCAATCTTATATTTAAAAAGGGAATTTGATAGATCTCAAATCTATAAACACGCATGGGATAATGAACATAGGGTTCAATGGAATAATTCAAATGTAGTCCTAAAATAAACGGATGGTAAAAAAAGAAAAATCAAAGAAGCGGCTCTAATTATGCTAAATGAGGCCAATTGTGTCGCAAATTCCTCGGCAGAATGTAGTAGGATCTGGTTACCAATATTGAAAGAGGAAGTTATTAATAAGAAAATACCAGTATTAGTAAGTCAGTAACATATAGAGAGATACATCAGAATTTTGATGTTTGTTGATGGTAAAATAAATTCACGAACAAATACTTACAATGTCGGGATATTATTATGAAGTTTTTTTCCTGGTTTTTCCCTCATAATTTACTATGGAATCACTAACAGGAGAATTTTACTGTCATCATGTCATGTGTTTGTCTTTTTAAAGACGAATTACATGCTATAATTTTTTTCTGACGGATATTCTCAAGTTAAAGTTGATTTCATGTAATCGAATGAACTATCTTATAAGTAAAGTCGTCCCAGGAGCGCAACTCAACAATATTGGCAATATCATTTTAAAGTCGTCTACTTTAAAATGCATAATGTGTGTCTGAATTGTCAATAAATATAAATGATAAAATTAAATTATTAGAAGAATTTTTCACTATGTAACAAAAAACAAAATTTGTTTAATTTGCTGTTTGTATTTTGAGAACGATTTCCGAAGTGGAAATTGAAACGTCAATAAACGTATTTTTATCTTTAATTGTGGCTTATTCCCAGTTTAATAGTAATTAAGTGGAAGAGAATTGTAACAGAAGCCAAGTCATACAACAAACTTTGACAATACACAAGAAGAATGCGGTAAATTCACAGTGCGAGCTAAATAACCTCATCACCAAACAGTGGAGGTTTTTGGATTACATATTAAATGGTTAAAATTATAAAATTGAAACGACATATTGGACAGTTGGTCTTAAGACACCAACCAACTAAATAAATTCTGACGCCGTTAAAATTAAATTAAATGCTTTTCAATACTTCTAATTCTCGAAAAGGAACATTACCATCAATTCGATAAATATATAAAATTGAAATTTTGCACATGTCCATATTTACATCAATATAAAATCAATATTAAACGATAAAAAATAGATACCTACTTCAAATTTGTTCAAACCGGCCAAGTTTTCGAATTCTTCGTCGATCGGCATCAAGAAGGCTTTATTGGCGACTATGAGTTCGTTGAGTTTCGCCCTTTCTGCGTCGTTTAACTCTCGGGAATTGGAAGGACTCTGCGGTATCGAGGAAAAAGCTTGGAATTCTAGTTTTATCGCTTCGCACAGAACTGATTCTATTGGATTATTATCCTCCGATCGAACACTAAAACCCAAACGAGTACATGAGGATCTCGGTTACTCTAATAGGTCTGGGAGATTGGTGGATGATAGGGAAAAATTACTATATATGATGTGACAAACATCATTGGAATCTTACCTATGGACGTCGTGTATGACTTGAGATATATCAACGCTGGTATCACAACTGTCAGGGCTATTATTATTACTTATATCACTCGTAAAATTAGTACGTTGTATTGAGCTGGAGATATTGCTGTTGGAGCAACTAGTATCGGTTAATTTCGACTGAGAGACGGGTTCTTCCTTTTTAGGTTCCAGTATGTTATTATTTGAATTCGTGCAGTCGTCGGAAGAAGAATTATACCTAGAATTAAAAATGATTATTAGTTTGTTTGTTCTTAATTGAAAGATTCTCTTATACAATAAAAAAGTTTATAATAAGTAGTTATTAGTCCCATTATCATACATCAAAGGGTATATAAAATATGTGAAAAAAATCAGCCCTACAAAGTTTGGTTTTCGGAACGCAGTGGGTACGGAAGAGGCTCTCTTTAGCATACAAGTGCTATTTCAACGATTTTGAGATGTGAATTGCGATATTTATGTATGCTTCAATGATTACCATAGAGTGTTCGATACAGTAAAACATGACAAGATTATGGAGATACTAACAAATATTGCAATACACATCTGTGATCCAAGAATTATTAGCAATCTTTACTAGAATTAAACATCGTCTATTCGTACAGATGCAAGACAATCCGATGATATCAAAATCAAATGTGGGTTCCGACAGGGATATATACTAACACACTTGCTGTTCAACATATACTCGGAGGAAATCTTTCAAGAAGCAGTAGAGGATGTTGAGACCGGAATTCGAATTAACGAAGAATGTATCAATAACATCAGATATGCAGATGATACGGTGGTATTCGCTGACAGTTATGAAGACCTCCAGGAATTAATGACTAGAATCACAGAAGTGAGTCAGAGATATAGACTTTTACTGAACATTAAGAAAACTAAATGTATAATGATCTCTAAGAAGAAACAGCAAATTGAAAAAAAAAAGTGTGAATGGTCAACCAAACACCTACCTTGGTATGAACGTCAATGAAAATTGAGACCATTTCGTACAAATCAAATGTAGGATAAGCAAGATCTGCATTTCAAAAATTGGTTAAGCTATTCAAATGCCATGATTTATCAGTCCCCATAAAAATTAGGTTACTACGATGTTATTTAAAACAGTATTTGCAGTATTTTTCGCGTAACTAAAAACGGGTGGGAGAGAATGTTTGTTGTTAGCGGCAGTCAACAGTAGAGAGAAAACCTCTATTGCAGAACGTCTGTTCCCAGCGATAGGTAACAGGCAAGAGAGGGTCTTTTTTTGTTCGCTATCTTACAACTGTCTGTATTTCTAATGGAGTGGGGTTGAAATGTGACAAGTAAGCGTTGAAGAATGGGAAATAATTGTAAAATTGTGGTAGAATGATAGTTAGTAATATAGCGAAAAAATTAAAAAGAAATATTTCTCCTTCAAGTCTACCATTTAACTGCGCGTGAAAAAAAAAACAGTGTTCCATTGCAGTAGGGAATAATTTTAGTTATATCATTATTCTGACATTTTGACTGAAAAGTTAAGTTAAGTTGCCTCGGAGAAACATTAAAGAAGCACCATTTTCATTTCTGAGTTATAACTTTATGAATTATCAACATAAACTTTTTTCTTTTATCGAACAAGGTAATAGAACAGAAAAAATGCAATGCAGACTAAGATTAAGTCAGAACACAGGCTCGTTAACAAGCCTCTTCCACCACCATAAGGTCAATAACTTAGTAATCTTTATACCTAATTAATAAAACCACAAGTTTTAGACAAAATTCGACCTTATTTACCAATTATATTTTCCTTTTAGAGTGATTATAGTCAAGTCATCAGAGATTTGATCTCTAAAAGTGAGACGAACAAACTAAATTCCGCTGAGAATGTCAATTTTGAGATCCCAAAATAAATGCAAAACAGTTTGCCACTCCTTTCCCCGGGCTTCCCTCTAAAACTTTCCCCTCGTAGGAAGGGGGGGTCAATTTATCAAAAATTTGTAAGTCATAGAAAAAAAAATGTTTCAAATAAGACATGTAGCTGAGATAATCTTGAACAAAGATGTTTAGCCGCACTTTTCATGTAGAATTAATCTTTCTCTGATAAATAAGGATTGAACCGACCGACTATTTTGAATGAGTTACGCGCTGAGCAAAGAATGTGTTTTGATTTAAAATTTAAATTTAGGGTTTTTTAGGCAAATTTAAAATGCCAAAACGACAAATATGTTGCCAAAACTCAAAATACAAATTTCGTACTATATTTTATTATTATTATTACACATAAGCAACGACAGAGGGACAAGTCCCTATTATGCCCAAAAACAAAGAAATTTCACTAATCAACTACTAGCAAATTACAAAATTACAAAAAAAAATATCAAAATTATAATTGTTGGTTTAAAAGAAAAACAATATTTTAACTATAATATAAAACCGTTCTGTCTTGATCTTGTAGAAAAATTGTCTTTATTTAGTTTAAACTGATGATCTCTGAGGCGTTGATCTTGAATTATGATAAATATTTCATCAAGATTTCCAAAATTGAATTTTAATATTCTCGAATTCAAAGTGGAGGAATTTGAGTGGCTTTTCTTTGAACGTTTTCCAATAAAGTCTCGAAAAACACCTCCGCATCAGATACAGTCTGGAGTTCGCACGTTTATAAACTGTGGTAATATGGTCCGACCAAGTTAGGCTGCTGTTTACGATAACACCAAGGTCGTTATAGGAGAACACTGGGGGTTCTCCCCAGGTTAGCTGGTTTGTGATTGCATTGGCATATATTTTTGTGTCATCAGCGTAGAGTAATATTTTACTTAAAACAATAAGGAATGTCACTGGTATAAACCATAAAAAGCAGAGATCCATGGACAGAACCCTGAGGCACTCCACTTTCCACTGTCATCCATCTGTCCTATGAAAAAGATTAGCCAACTCTAACTTTGTAATGTCAATCTGTCAGGAAATCTGTAAATCGATCTGTACACAACGTCGACCAGCTGTGAACTGTTAAGAGATGTCGACCAGCTGCGAACTGTTAAGGGATGACGTCCAATTGTTAACACAATGTAGGGGATTGGTTAGAGTAGAGTGACAAGAGACAAATCCATGTTGTTGTGTTGGAATAACATGTTCCTGGAGAAGGAATTTGGTCATCTCCTCTGAAATAATGGCTTCCATGAGTTTGCCAACTACTAACAGCAAGCCAGACGATAATTGTCTCTGAATGAAGATTTAACTGAACAATGGAAATTTCATAGTCACTAATCAATGAAAGGGATAAATTCTATTGATTTCAAAAGACTCGTATCATTTATTTATTTAGCAGCTTTATAGAAACTTACTCAGATTGTGACAAAATGCAAACATTTTTGGAATGAAATGGATCTTCAAAAATAGAAAATGGTTCAATCTACAGAAAAAGTGCTAAAAAACATTTTTTTTCAAATTCCGTTTTCTCCCCTACCCCTCTACCCTCATCCCCGTAGGTTTTTGCAAATTTAATTTCTCAGCAAAATTCAGCTTGTTCATATGATTTTTAGAGGTTCCGTAGCATGTTGGTCTCTGACGACTGAGCATTTACTTCCTTACTGTACATTGTACATGTACACCTCTTTAAGCTGCTTATTCATCATTGACTAAAAGCCGAATTGTCACAAAAATACTATCAAAATTTTGATTGATTAAATTTTATTAGTCAAATTTCTATAAAGTACTTATTGTTTTGTTTATTTTGTTGTTAATAAATCTGTTTTGAAATCGCAGGTGTGGAATGATAAAACATTTTCACACAACAACTTTTTTCCCACTCTATAGATAAAACATGCCATTCTTGAACTTCAGGTGTCTTAATTACTTCTAAGAAGATTACGTCATTATCAGAATCATTTTTAGATAAACTTTTAATCTACTGAACAGCCAAATACTTTAATATTAAAATCCTAGCCAGTCTGCCAGATCTAATAGCAAAAATATTATTTGTATTAGTCAGGAATGACTGTACCTTTTACAGTTGAAATCATAATAAAAAATATAGTGTCTCATAGTAAAAATACAGCTGGCGGTGCCATAAATATGTTAATTAGAGATTATAGATAACTTCAGATTAGAAAAAGTTGTTGAAAGAAATCAACAATGCGATGGAAAGTAGGAAGATACTTTAAATAAGAAATTAAAATGATAATTTTGGTAAACTAAAAATTCTACTGTTGATTTTCTCGATCTAAACACTACATCTCTCATCTTTTTTTATGAATGAAGATAAATATATCTTCATGCTATTCTTTCGACAGTGATTCTAATTATAATAATGACACAAGGGAGGTCTGAATAACCAGACAGGCAAAGACCCTCCAGGGTTATGATGCCAATAGAAGAAGAATCTTCTTGTCACAATATTGGCTTATATTCAAGGAGCCATTAAAAAATTCTTGCCAGGTTTTCGAAATTTCTGTTGTGTTCATACTAGACCATTATTATCTTTCTTCTGTATGTTGGTCTATGTCATACAATATTTCGATATGTTCTTGATCTTCTTGAAAAACTCCCTACTATTGTTTATAGTAACATACTAGCGGACCAACTCAACATGGAGTTTTTTAAATGAAATTTTTATTTTGCGAGAAAAATTAGGAGATCAATACAAACAATATAAGCAAGAATATACATAACATTCATCAATAATAATGCAAGTAAAAAGTGTATTAAATGTCACGAAATATTTCGTCGAAAACATTGTTTTTTGTTACAATGTCTCCATTTTCTGAAAACTTTTGCTTGGCACCGGGAGTTATGTAAACTTTTACTTTTTAATAAAAACGAAACCGGAAGTCGACCTCAAAACCGGAATGCAATTTTTAGTTCATCAAATATTGACATGGATACCATTTAGCAGTTAATTTTGCATGCTGATCATGAATCTGGTGTCAGATTTGCTCTATCACGTTTTATGCGCGTTTCGGGTCACTTCCGGTGTCGGATCGCAACCGGAAGTACATATTTAGATTCGTCTCGACGAGACCTTTCGATCCATATATACATTGTGGGGTCTAAAACTTAAAAGTAAATTTTAACTTCCGGTCATCTCAAAACCGGAAGTGAATTTTTGTACCAAAAGTATATCGTGATAATCTCATACGTAATACTAATAATATTCCGAAAAAATATTTTAATTATCTAATATGGTTTTTGAGTAAAGTGGTGGACAAGAAAAGGGCCTATAAGATTTTTCAATACTATGTTTTTATGACAGGATTCTTCCTTTTTCCTTCTTCTGTCTCTGTTCCCAATATGTTAAATCATCTGTTTCATCATTTGTGCAACGTAACCTAATTACTCTGGCTCTGATTTTAGTATCTTGCATATAGCTTACACCATGTGTCAAGATTAAATACTCTGTCTAATACTATTGCAGTATAAATTGCTGACTACTCTGATTCTATATAACTACCACGAATAGTGTGTGTTATGCTGCCTATGCCTTAAGAACAAGAAAATTGAAAATGTTTATAGTAAAATTGACGAAATTTCTAGAAAAACTGATGAATATTAGAAGTTTCTAGAAATACAGGTGAAATTCTTAGAATATTAAAAAATAACTGAATAAACTTTCAAAATAAGTAAGGAAAACCTAAGGAAATTCTAGACAAAATCCATGAGAAACATTTGATAAGGTATACATTTGATAAATGTTTACATGCTAGCACGAAAAAGTAAAACAAGTAATAAAGTCCCAATGACAGATCAGAATATCCAAGTTTTCTTGGTACATATCCCAGTCAAGTTGAAACTGTCAACCAGTGGGCAAAAGAGAACAAGGCTGATTCCAAGACTGTGGCTTTACAAGGTGATGCTTCCAAAATTTTACTATCACTTCTTAGGTGTCAAGAGAATTGTTTATTCAGAGTTTAGATTAGTTTACAGTTAAGATCAGTGTTTATTGTTAGTTACCTTAGTGGTACTTTTTGGATACTGCATAAGTGGTAAGCAAAGTCTGGTAGTATGCTACCAATCAAATATTCATAATGCTGGAACCTTATATTAGTAATATAATAATAATAATACTAATAATAAGTACAATAAAAAAAAATTGTCAGAAGATTATTCACTTCCACACAAGAAAACACATTTAAGCTATTTATCTACTTTTATAACCTGAGCAGAAGAGTTATTTGTCAGAAATATAATAAAATAAGTCAATCAAACCTCATTTGTTTTGTGTGTGGTCTCTTTTTAAATATGTTCATAAGTTATGATTCACAAGAAAACCCTGAAAAATCATCTAATATCAGACATTACTTTATGATATATAATTTAGTGGTGCAACTGGAGTTTGTGGTGAAGTATGACTAACTTTGAGAATTAATTTACTTTAAATAATTTCTAACATGTATTTATTTTTTTTATAACACTAAATAACACTATTGGTGTAATAGACAGGTGTAATAAAAAATAAGATGATAAATAAATAAAGTTATTTACCTATCAGTTGGTGATGCACTGTCTTCTAAAGAATCTATTGATAAATTAGTATAATCACTCGCAACCTGTGCTGGTGATGTTACAGCACTTGTATAATTCGAATCAGAATCTGTATTTGATTGATTTTCAAAACTTTGTGAATCCGGTTCTACATACTCCCTTTTTAACCTTTTAAAATTTTGTTTCTGTTTCCCCATATTCTCTCTTTTGGCACGGTTTTCTTCAATTTTCTGTCTTTTTGCTACCTTATCTTGTTCTGACATTATCAAATCCTTGCACATACCTATTGATAAACACTTATCCAGTCTACATTTCTGACAAAATCTTCTAGTTAAAGTTGTAATATCACATTGATTGTTGAATGGGCATTTTAATGGTTTTTGAAGGAGAGCATTGCGTCTGAAAAATGCTTTACAACTCTCACATGTTATTGCGTTAAAATTGTACCCTAACGCCTTGTCACCACAAACACCACACACTTTTAAGTCAACTACTTTTGCACCTTTCATGGCGAGTATTGCTAACAATAACACTAGAACTAATCAAATACTATATGACACTTTTCAAAAACTCGTCATTGTATAGTGATAACGCATCATCTAGTCGAAATGAGATCTTTGTATGTGTCCAATTAGATTATGAAGTGTTTTGACCTTGTCCTCTTATTCAGATTATCAGTTTAAAAACATATTTTCATACATAAATAATGTAACTGTCATTATCAGCTGTGCATAAGAAATTGACAGGTTGATTCATTGTTTCTTCTTTTTATCATATGAAGTGGACTCTTCCTGTTTAGTGATTACCGTCAGTTTAAATATAAATTATTAATTTGTTACAAAACTTGAGAAAGTACTTAAGAATTTATATTTATATAATCTAAACGACACTATACTGAAATATTAAAGAGCTCAATAAATATTAACTCCTGTTTAAGTTATCCTTACCTCAAATTGTGTTGATCAGAATTACTTACCTATCATAAAAATTTACTATGAATTAAACAAAAAATATAATACCTATGTATCAAAATATACAATATAAACAGAGACAGAGAAACAGAAACATGGTGACTGATCAAAATGGTACGAGGGTATGGTAAGAAGTACTTCAGAAGAGACTTCATTATCTCTAACTGGTCCATACATTGTTTTGAACTTTTTCTTCGTCCTGGCTTTGATCTCTTCCATCGCACAATTGTTTTTGATCATTACTGCAATCAGATATTTAAAACTTGTCGTCACTCTGTCGTATCTGTGTCAATTTATCGAAATTGTTTGATCTTATGCTCCTAAATTCAATCAGTGTTATATACAAGTATTACTATTTTCAAAATCGTATGCTTTTTAAAGGATATCTAGAGCTGAATACATCTAAATTATGCTGGTAACACTTTTCTAGTATCTTTGCAAAAATAGGATTTGGTTAGAGGCTTTTCCTTCCGTTCTTTATCTGCTTATACAAATATTTTCATTTGCTTTTCTTAGTTCTTCTAAATCTTCCATGTTTTTATTCACATCTTGTTTGCTGTTCTACGGCATCATCTATATTCATCAGTTGTTCATAATAATGTATTCATAATGCATCTGAACCGCATCTATTGCTATCCTTGATTCTTTCTGTTAACCATTTGTACACAGTTTCATCATACCGATCTTACATAGGGTTTTAGATTATCAACAATTAAAGATATACAAGAGAGCTAAGACTATTCTCATCTCAGAACATAGTCTAAAATAACGATAACGAATATAATCTAATAGGTACTATACATGTTATTCATCTACTAAGAAAAATTCCTCGATAATATATAAGTATAGGTAATCGAAGAATCTCTAGTACCTATATCATCGCTTAGATTTCACAATTTAAATATCAAAATGCCATCATAAAAATTCATCAAGACCTATATTTACAAACATTATCAATTATAATTACTAAAGACGTAAAAAAATGGAAAAAAATCTAATCTACATTTTTTACTCTGGCTCAGAGTCGTTATGGAAGACTTTAATGCCAAGGTTGGAAATGAAAGTTGTAGAAAGCTCATACAGCAATTTGGGTTAGGCGAAAAAATGAAAGGTTTTAAAGATTACGTATGTTTTCCATGGAGAAGGAACTTGTAATCACTAACATCTTTTCAAATCACCACCGAATATAGATGAGCACAAGATAGTCCAAATAGTATTGTTAGGAATCATAATGATTTTATCATGATAAATAAGAAATTTAGAAATGCACTAATATTTTCAAGTTATTGGATATGTTATTGCATGTTCAATTTCCACCAGGAAATATGTTGGGGCGTTAAGTGCAGATATATAATCGGATCACAATCCATTGGTGGGCAAACTTTGTTCCAAACTAAAAACGATCAAAGAAATTAAAAGAGAATAATATAATCTAAGAATTATTAAAGATACAGAAAAGAAAAAAGAACTACAACAATATACGGAACAAAAAATTTCTACTGCAGAAAACACATGAAGATAGAGATAGAGAAAATGACATTGCGATACTAAATGAATAAGAAGGTCGAAGATATTTGAGATAGTATTTGAAAACAAGAAGAATGAAAAAGAAATTGTGGTTGAATGATAAAATACTGATATCACCAGTTTAATCTTCAGAGAAAAGTCAAAGAAACTGCAGTAATCTATAAACCAACAAGTACAGGGATCATACTGGATACAAACGCAAACCCATACTAAACATCTAAAGATATTGTTCTGAAGCTATTTTCTTGTGGCATTTTAAATTAATTACTATTTATCTGGGAATAAGCCACAATTAAAGATAAAAATACGTTTATTGACGTTTCAATTTCCACTTCGGAAATCGTTCTCACAATACAAACTGTAAATTAAACAAATTTTGTTTTTTGTTAAATAGTGAAAAATTCTTCTAATAATTTAATTTTATCTGACTCAATTATATTGACAATTCATACATACATTATGCATTTTAAAGTAGACGACTTTAAAATGATATTGCCAATGTTGTTGAGTTGCGCTCCTGGGACGACTTTATTTATAAGATAGTTCATTCGATTACATGAAATCAACTTTAACTTGAGAATATCCGTCAGAAAAAAATCATAGCATGTAATTTGTCTTTAAAAGACAAACACATGACATGATGACAGTAAAAATTCTCCTGTTAGTGATTCCATAGTAAATTATGCGGGAAAAACTAGGAAAAAAACCTCATAATACTATCCCGACATGGTAAGTATTTGTTCGTGCATTTAGTTTACCTTCAATAAACACCAAAATTCTGATTTTATAGGTTTCGTTATTTAAAAAACATAAATGATGTATCCTCTATATGTTACTGACTTACTAGTACTTGTATTTTGTTATTAATAACTTCCTTTTTCAATATTGGTAACCAGATCCTACTACATTCTGCCGAGGAATTTGCGACACAATTGGCCTCATTTAGCATAATTAGAGCCGTTTCTTTGATTTTTCTTTTTTTTACCATCCGTTTCTTTTAGGACTACATTTGAATTATTCCATTGAACCCTATGTTCATTATCCCATGCGTGTTTACATATTTGAGATCTATAAAATTCTCTATTTTTAATATAAGATTGATGTTCACTTATTCTAACATTTAATGGCCTTGACGTTTCACCTAAATAAAACTGATCGCATTCACAAGGTATTTTATAAATGCAATTCTTTGTCCTTTCTTGTTCATTGTTAGGTTTGGTTTTGGACAAAATAGATCTCAACGTGTTTGTTGTTTTGAAGGTTGTTGAAATGTTGAATTTATTTCCTATCCATTTAAGTTTTTCTGATAATCCTTTTATGTACGGTATTGTTATTTTCCTCGTATTATTCCTTGTGTATGCTGTAGGATCTAGTTCTAAGTTATTCTGTCCTATTCGATCGATTGTTGAAAATTCCTTATTTATAAACGATAAAGGATAATCATTTTTTAATAAAACAGATGTTAACAAATGTTTCTCCTCCTAGAACTAATTTTTGTTAGAACAATTGATTGATTGAGAATATTGTGATTTGATTTGAAATTTAAATATCTATCGGTGTGTGTTGGTTTTCTATACACCTGAGTCTCATATCCAGTATCGTTCTTAGAGATTAAAACATCCAGGAAATATAGCGTGTTATTATATTCCTTTTCCATGGTAAATGTTATTGTCTCTTCTTTATCGTTTATATTATTTAGGAATGTGGAGCGACAATATTGAAAGAACTGCAGGACAAATGTGAGAACGTCTTACAAAACAAGAGAGACGAATGGCGAGAATGAGGAGAGGCCTATATTCGGCAATCCGAATAGAGAGAAGGTCTTAAAAAAATTATGGTTTTTGTATTAGGATTTTTCAATAACAATATGACACTTTATTTAAATTTTAGGTTTTTTTTTTACAGTAGAATTAGTTGCTGGTAAATGTAAAACACTCAGTATTTGGATACCTTCAAAAATGTTTAGATTTACGTTTCTCAATTACCTTGTACACTTTAGATTTTAAAACAATTAAATTTAAAAATAATTAGGTCAAGATATGTTTATAAAATACACTTTTGCTGACTTAGGTCTAAACACGTAGCCCGCTAGAAACAATATTCCAAATTCCATTCATATCAAGTGACTTCTGCTGGCGACTCCGCTGGCTGGCAATTTCTTTTCTCCACACACTAGACCAACCAAATTAAATAAATGACTGCTTTACGCTACAAAAATTGACGAACAAAATTACGAACATGTTTAAAAAAGGATTCTTCGTTCCTTTTTTATGTTTTTCTTTGTTTCTTATTGGTCACAAAGCGGAGGAAAATTTGGAAGTCTCTTGTAATATAAATGTGAAGAAAGCAATACAATGTGTGAGTGATAAATTTTTGAGTATCTCAGTAGATCCAGCTGTACTCTTAGCAGGTGTTAATTTAAGGTAAGGCATTGAATTATAATTTATGTAGCTAGTTTGTTAAATCTCAGAAGTAAAAATCTTCTGTCTATGAAATTACCAGCCTTTCTCAAGAAGCTGTCTCAGTATAAACGGCTGGTCGATTGATAATCTCTGTGCCCTAAAACTTTGATATTCCCCCAAAATTTAGATTCATTTTAACAAATATAAAATAAATATTACTTGTATTCTTTTATATTGTTATTGTAAAATAGTATTTAAGACTTATCTACTTTTCTCTCTAATAATATAACTTCTTTTCGTACTCTTTATGCCCTATAAGAGCATCGAATTTTGATGACGTGTATCCACCTTTTACCAATTTCTTCCACTCCTTTTATTCTTCTACAATTTTATTCATCTGCTGCAATATTTTTCGTCTCTTCTGCCCGATATCTATCCCTATCCCTTCTACCTTTTCTTCCCTGTTTTTTTGGGCCCTATCACTTGTTTTATTAATTTATTCTCATCCATTCTGGTTTTATCCATATCAGTTCAGTTTTCTGTGTTGTAGTTTTTCTCTATTGGTTCTTTCTTGGGCTCCTTCCTGATATTTTCGTTTCTTTTCCCATTCAGCTCCTTTTTTTCGGTATTTTTCTCATTTGTTTCATTTCTGTGGCCAGGTACTCTTAAATTGTCTTCTTCTTCTTCTAATGGCGCTACAACTCTTTGTGAGTCTTAACCTGCTTAACAATATTCTTCCATTCTGCCCTTTCGGATACTTTCCTTCGCCACTGCCTGATGTTCATGATTTTAAGATCCCTCTCTACGTCGCGTCGTCTATCCATCTTTTACGGGGCTGGACTACTTTTACAGTTCGATTATCTGGTATTCTTTCTAGGTGACCAAGCCAATTTAGTCTTTGTGACTTTACAAATCTAACAACCCAACCTGGATTGGTCCAAATATCTTCCTTAGTAATTTGCGCTCAAATATTCGCAGTTGATTTTCATCAGTGGTTGAGAGGGTCTACGTTTCACATTCATATGAAACACTGGCCAAATTACTGCTTTGTAGATTCTAAGCTTACACTCACGATTCAGTAACTTATTTTTTATTTAAGTCTTTGTATGCATAAAAGCACTTATTACCGCGAAGAATCCGTGCTTGTATTTCTTGACTGATGTTGTTGTCATTTACTATTCAGAATAGGTAGGGGAAAGTGGAGGCATATTTGTAGGTATGGTTGTCTACCTTCAGATTCTCATATTGTTTCGATTTTGTGCACTCCATACATTTTATTTTGCTTTCATTTTTATATAGACCAAACGTAGCATCTTCTCGTTTCAGTTCTATACCTTTTTCGCTTAATACCCATTTGTTGCGGCTTATTATGGTAACATCATCCGTATATGCGCACATTTGCATTGATCTTGTATTAATACAGCTTCTAAAGTTAGATTAAAAAGTGTTGTTGATAAGGCATCACCTTGTCTAACTCCATTTTCAATATCAAAGGCCTGCGTCATATCTCCATCTATTCTCACCATAGCTTTGGAACCCTCCAGAGTCATTCGTATAAGTTTAACCAACTTATTGGGCATCCCTAACATATATAGTTGCTTTAACATCTTTTGTCGATATACTCCATCAAACTCCTGTTTGAAATCGATATACAAGTTGTAAATAGGTATGTTTTATTCAACACATTTTTCATGTATAATTCTTAACATATGTATTTGGTCTATAGTTGACTTCTTTGGTACGAAGCCACATTGGTATTCACCAATCATCTTCTCCGAAAACTGTTCGAGGCGGCTGTATATAATTCCTGATAATATCTTGCAGACGACATTTAAAACTGTTATGCCCCTATTATTTTTGCAGAGTCGTTTGTCTCCCCCTTTGTACATAGGAAGTATGATTTCCACTTTCCAATCTTCTGGGATGACTTCTAGTGTCCATATACGGTCGATTAGCTTATGGATACGCCTACAGAGTACATGCCCACTATTCTTTATCAGTTCTGCAGTTATTCTATCTGTGCCAGGTGCTTTGTTATTTTTTAGATATTTTATGACGTTTATCGTTTCTTCCAATGTTGGTTGATCAACTAGTTGTTCTGCTGTGTGGTGAATTATTTCTTCATCTTCGTTTTGTTCTTTTTCTGGGCTTAACAGCTCTTGAAAATGCTCCTTCCACCTTTTAGTCATTTCTTCTTTCTTGCTGATAATTGCCCCATTTCTGTCCTTGCAAACTGTTGATCTTGTCATGTATCCTTGGGTGTATTGCTTGGTTTCCTTGTAAAATTTTCTAGTCTCCCTTCTGTTATTATAATCTGTAATTTGTTGTATTTTTCTATTCAACATTTCTCTCTTTTTCTTTCTACATATTTTCTTTGTATCTTTTCTGAGCTCTTCATATGCCCTTCTATTCAATTGGGAATCCCTTTTCTCTTTAGAGAATTTAGTCTGCTATATTTTTGCTATTTATTACTTGTAATCTTGGTCAAATCATTCCTTGTTTCTTTTGCTTGACGTTTCACCTAATGTTTCCTTTGCCATATTTGTAATTGTCATTTGAATGACATTCCATTATTTTTCAATGTTGTTTTGTTTACCTCTTTCATTTAATATTACTTTTATTTTCCGATATTACTTTCCATATAAGAAATGTTCCGATTCGCAATTTGCACCTCTATAAGTTCTAACATCCGTTACAGAGGTTGTCCACCGCTTAGATATTAATATGTGATCAATTTGATCAAATTTATTAGTACCAGGTATCATCCAGGTTCCTTTATGAATATTTTTATGAGGGAAACACGTACTAACACCTCTTAGTTTGTTTGCCATTGCCAATTGTTCCACTTTTATACCGTTGTTGCTGGTAATATCATGTAAACTATGCTTACCAAATAATTCTGCATATATTGGCTCTTTTTTGCCAGCCTTGCGTTCATATCACCCAGGAATATAGCTGCATATCTGATCTGTGCGTTTTCACATTCTACTTGTAGTTGGTCATAGAATTGATCGGTTACTAGTTCATCTGCTGCTTCTATTGGGGGCATGGCTATTAATAATTGCAATATTATGAAATTTTCCCCTTAGACGTATCTTGCATATTCTTTCATTAACTGGAGTGAATACTGACCTGCGGCATTTATGGTTTACCATAAAATCCACTCCAAAGTCTCTTTGTCTTTTTGCTCCACAGTAGTGCATACTGTATTCTTTTTTATTTATGCAACTATGCCCTTTAAATCTTATTTCTTGGAGGGCTGCTATGTCTACTTCGTACTTCAATAGTGCCTGTGCAATACTTTGCATTTTGCCTGCTTGCAGCATGATTTGGACATTACAGGTTCCCAGTCGCAAATCCATCATTAAGTCCTTATTCCGTAGCTTTGATCGTTGTCCGTTGGTCCGTCCGGTTAGTTCATTGTCCGTAGCATTCTTGATAGCTGAGTATAAGGTGAACAGGTTATCGGCCTATTGCACCAGAGTCCAGTGCCAGGGCTGCTGACTATAGCTTCTTAACAAGCTATGTTTTCTCCTTTCCTCGTCCGCCCTGACCCTACCTTCCATTGGGGTTGGTTACTCAATCTCCAATAGGGTTGCTCAGGTTTACCGGGGTTCACTCATGTGATCAAGATCACACTTCTTGAAGGTGAGGATAGGAATTTAGTAGGAGAGGCGAGGTGTTATCTGAAAGCAATACCTTGTATTGCGCCTCATTACTCCTTTGAACCCTCACTCGCTCACTATCTTGAAAAGGACAAGAATTAGAGATAGTGACACTCTTAAATCTCTAATTCTTGTCCTTTACAGAACACTCGGGTTTCATCTCCAATATTCTATTCCTGATATTCCATTCTTATATTCTTACATTTGTTAATGTTTTTTTTTCTAACTTAATTTTTTCTATTTACTCTATCCACACTTCAACTATTATAGAAATACTGACTATCTTTATTTGCAAGTATTGATTACCTTTATTTTTCTTCATTTTAGTGAAAATTCGTTAAAATTGGCCAAACACCTCAGCCCAGCATTCATCAGAATAGCTGGACCAACTACTCAGTTTATCAAGTACGTAGACCAAGACGATGCCTCCCACAATTTACTCACAGAAGACGGAAATAACGTGAGAATTACTCCATCTATTTGGTTCGGGATCAACGAATGGTTAAAATTAGCCAAAATAACACCGATATATGGAATTAATGATAAAGAAACAATACAAGGAGTCTGGAATCCTAAGAGTACGTTGCCATTGTTTGATATTTCAGAGCAGCTTAATATTAGCTGCTATTGGCAACTTGGATATGGTAAGTAAACCTCTGACAGTCGAGTCGTTTTTCAATAAATGAATATTTCAAATAATTATTGTATTTTACATTATATTCACTGTTATTTTAAATAGTATTTAATTTATGGTCGAAATTTTATCTCTTATCTAGGTGGGCAGCTCATCTAGAAAAGATACAGACTTTGATAAATCCATAACTCGTTCGCAACCAGGCAAATATTTCATCACTGGACTCACTAAATTCCTCTCAGTAAATGTAACGGGCATAAAGTGTTCGTCCAAAAAACTGAGGCATTTTGAGTAAAAATTCCGGTGCATTGGACTTAATCGCTCTATCTATAGAAGAAGTTCTGGAGTAGCTTAATCAAAAACTCTCACTTCTTTGATAAATTATTATATGTCAAACTAGGTATTGCCGACCTGAATATTACATGACTTCCTGATCAGATTATTCTGACGGGAATTTTTTGAAGAGTGCAAACAATGCCACATCAAAGGTGGCAAATTGTGGTTTCTGGCTAGCATGAGCCATTGTTAGTCGTAATGACAACAAAATTATGCCTTTTTCTAGGCAATATTTACTTGTTGACCAAGTACAATGTGATATATGATTGTCAAGTAGAAGCAGTTTTTTATTTTCAGGGGATGGACTTGCATATTCTGTGAATCGCTAAAACCAAGTCAAAAATAGTTTTGAATTTATAAAAGCTGATCAAAATGCTATTCCTAAAGTATCTATTAGTGTTCGGGTACAAAATTCTTATAGTTTGTATGTTTTACTATGGTTCTGAAGCTATTTTCTTGTGGCATTTTAAAGTAATTCATATTTAAATGGGAATAAGCCACAATTAAAGGTTAAAGTACGTTTATTGACGTTTCAATTTTCACTTCGAAAATCGTTCTCAAAATACAAACATTAGTTTAATACTAATGTTTGTAGTAATCAAAATTTAGACCCTAATAATTATTACGATTTATGAATTAACATATGTATAGTCCATTTCCATCATATTGATAGCACATTATGTATGCAAATCCCTAAACTGTTGATATGGGTGACTCAATGAAAAATAGATATTTGTCAACAAGTTTACAGAAGTATATAGGAAAACAATTTTAAATTGAGTATGACCACCAAGTATAAAGGTTGAAGCAGAATAGAATACAATAGTATTGAGGGTTACTAATCCCTAAATAAAGTTGCCAGTGTCGGAGTGATAGAGATTAACAGGTACTAATGAATTTGCAAGAAATGTAAGATGTTTATTTTATTGGTTATAAGTATATAAAATAATTTGTGGCCGTAACAGGGGCCGATTTGTAAAAAAATGAATATTATTTTAATCAAATTCCATTTCAGATTCACTGCTTTCTTCAGAATCTAAGGAATCTTCAACTCCAATGTTAATTATTACCGGTTCCAGCATTGCATCAGACATAGTATCCAAATTCCACATTTTATTTTCTTCCTTGTGAGCATGACTAACAGCATTTTTCCAATTTTCTGGAGTTACTTTTGTTAAGAAATGTTCTAATAATTGTTGTAAGTCTTCTATTTTAAAAGTTTTGTTGTTGCGTCCGACTTTACTTGAGACCATATATTTTCTATCGGATTCTTTATAAGCTGCTTTATGTTGCCTTACAATAGGTAATAATTCCTTTTTTGTCGAATTCTCCTTGTACTCAATTGCGTGTTTATCTAACCATTCGATTATCTCTCCTTTTTTCCATGTCGTTGTTGGCAATTTTTCTGCTAGTCTTGAATGGTAACTAGCATTATCCATGACTATGACAGAATGTTTTGGAATTAAATCCAACATTTGCTCAAAATATTCTTCAAAAACGTCAGCAGTCATTTCCTCGTGGTAATCTTTGGTTGATTTTGAGGCAAAACTTAATAATCCACCATTGACAAAACCGTATTCGTTTCCAATATGGGTTATTATGAGTCCGCGTCCTTTTCCAACGGGAATATTGTTTATTCCAGTAGATACACCTTCGATGAATGCCTGACGCGAACTTTTCACATTTGTATCAACCCATAAATATGGTACAGTATGACCTTCATTTAGCCAATTCTCGTCCAAATAAAAAAATGTTTTCCCTTCTTCTCGGTATTTTTTAATAGTTATTAGATAATCTCGTATTCAACATACAATGTAATCATTTTCAATTAAAACAGATTTTCTTCTATTCTTTTGCCACCGAAATCCCATCTCTCTCAATAGTCCCCAAAATTTCTTGTTGCTTATGATTGGTAAGTCTTCGTTTTCTCTAATTAATGTTTGGAATTTGTTCAATGTAGGAAATTCTTTGTTAAAAAAAATGAGTGGACGCTGCGTCTTATAATGTTTTATGTATTTTTTCAATTTCCAAGGGATTACTTCCACCACTCTTCTTGGAAGATGAAACAGTTCCTCCTTTTCTTTCTTTTAGGAATTTATAAATTGTTGCTTCTCCAACTCCTGTCATATTTGAACATATGTTAACCATATCACGAACATTGCTTGAGCGTTGATGTATGGGTGCATCGTGTACATTTAATATTATATTTTTCTCTCTTAGACTGAAGGCACCTTTAAAATTACACTTAACCGGGGTAAAACCTGTTGTCGACGTCATTTTTAAATGCAAATAACAAAATATCGACACCAAAAACGTAGGTAGGTAAGACATGAACAATGTACATCTACAAACTAAATGGAAGATGCAAACAATTTCTAATTTATATTATTGGCATAAGCTGTAATGTGGCATAAAAACTACTTAAACTATCATTAGTGAAGTCTTATCAGTAATTCCAGGTAATCGTTCACAGAAGGTATTCTTTTTGTGTCAGGCGATAACTTGTATAGAAAACAATAATCATCTTTAAATTACTGTTTACATTAATTTATTTAGTGAAACATTGAATTCTCTCGTTAATCACCCGTGTATAATTATCAATAATCGTGTGGCATATATACCGACGTTTTTTACGCACAAAAAAGTTATAGTGAGATTAGTGGACACTTATTTTACAGAAGATTTTTTAAAAGATAATGAATTGTTGACGGCATCTTAAAATATTAACTTTTTTAATTTACTTCAAAACAAGTATAGGGTGACGCCTATGGTTTTTGACCTGTTGAGGATTTTCATACATAATGTGCTATCAATATGATAGAAAAGGACTATAATCAATTGTTTGTTGTTTGGTTGTTTATTTTATTATTTTTCTGTAATAATAAATAGAATACAATGTCAGACCAATCAAATATACTGCTTAAAATGATGAAAGTTGTAAAAAAATATTCCGCCAAAAATATTGAAACCTGTCGATTTTTCCTGCAGTTTTCCTTGTCCAGCCTTTTTCTGCGTTAAACAGACTATTTCAGTTTAAGTTCATCTAAACTCAAAAATTCTACATTATTCTAATTATTTATGCCCATGGATCGTGATCGAACGAAGAAATTAAGAAAAAAAAATTTAATTTAAGGCTTTAAAATCAGTTTGAATGAATTTTCGTCTCATATTGTTTAGCATTTTTCCGATTCTCATAATTTTTAAAATATTTTCTTCTTATAAAACAAGAACGAGTCGATCGAATGAAAATCCCTTCGTTCAATCCCGAAACAATACTATAAAGATGAACTGTGAAAAGTTTCAGCAAATTCGGTCTATTCGTTTTTCTCAAAAATAAAACCTACTGCATGAAAAAACAAAGTTTCGAGAAAAATGTTTTCAAGCTGACCGCACGCTCGGTACATGGGCAATACGACCGCGCGATGTTCAAATCTCTATATCTCCAGTAATATTGGCTCGAATTTATTTAAAATTTGAAGTGAATACTCTTGAAGTACTATACTTTCATATATTTGAAAATAAAAGACTCACGTTACCCCTTAAGATTCCAAAACTAAAACAACAAAAACTTTTAACATACAAAACATTTAACAAAACATTGCATATTTTCTTATTGTTATACTTTTAGATGCCTCAAACAAAAACGAAACTAGATATAAACAAGATATCAACATATTTCGTTACATTCTGGAAGCCTATGCTAGTAAAAATGACACTTGGAAATTGGTAGGAAGTGACATTAGCTCGTTGCCGTCTGGTGATGTGGACAATATCTTAACGAGTCTACATGATCAAATCGAAGCTGTAATGTGGGAACCGTAAGTAATTTCATTATATTGGGTAAACTTTTCTTGTGTAATATACAGAATGTCTCAAAAAGGTATGTCATAACTTAAATCACGCATTCCGGGGACAATTCCCACGATTTAATTCCTCAGACCATATGTAAACAGTTGATGGGTCTCTGCTTTGGGATCACACAAAAATTTTCAAGATAAATTTTATGTTTATGTTTTTATTCTTTACACGGACTTTGTATTGTTTGATTTTAGAAGTGGACTTACAGCTGAAGAATTCCCTCCAAAAGATATTGCCTTCAGAATACTCCAGCATCAGGGCTCTAAACCTAAAACGAAGTTGTGGACAACTGTTCCGAAATCAGAAAACACTATTACTTTTTCATCTGCTATATTGTGGGCTAAACAAATTGGAAATGCAGCTAAAATGGGATACGATGTAGTGTTCAGGCAACCGCGTGTACATGAATTATTTACTGATACGCCGGTAGGTAGGATTTCTAATAAATTTAGAGAATTATTTATTCGTTTTTTACAGAGAAGTATATTCCCTTTCTCGTGAGAAAACGAATGTATTGTATATTTAAAATATAAGGTATTTAGGACACGATTTAATTCTTAAAAATACTTTTAGGTTTATTGGTGTTCACTTCTGCACAAAAAGCTTATGGGCTGCCAGGTTTTGGAAACCAAATCAAGTATATTTCAAGACGACACGAACATCTTCGCTCATTGTACTCGAAAACAAAACAGTTTCGTTAGAAGAGGAGCTCTAACTGTTATGGTAGTCAACGACCGTCCCCTTAAATATATAGCAAAGGTTAAATTAGGAAATGGCGTTCCAGAAAAGTCTGTGGAGGTGCAGACTTATATTCTCACATCACAATGTTTGAATTCAACGTAAGTATTACAGATTTTAACATGTCATCATCATCAATCAGCCCTAATTTGTCCATTGTTGAACACAGACATCCTCTTGATATTTGCATCACAAAGTCCTCCTGATGACTGGCAAACCATGAAATGCGTACAGAGGAATGATATATATATATATATATATATATATATATATATATATATATATATATAGTATAATGGTAAGGTTAATTGGGTTAGCAGCTGAATAATGAAAGCCAAAGTGTGCTCTTTTCAACGACTTCGTTATATTTCGTTAAATTTCTTTAACATCTTCAGACGAATGCTACAATATGTTACAAAATGGTGAAATTGTGTATTTTACATAAGATGTAGTGAAACACTTACTTGTGTGAGGTTGCAGGCAACAGTGGTATTTGAAAGTTCCATGTTGAAAAACTTTTTGAAGATTTTTTTTTTTTATAATCTTCTATGAATCTATAAAAAAATCTTCAAAAAGTTTTTCAACATGGAACTTTCAAATACCACTGTTGCCTGCAACCTCACACAAGTAAGTGTTTCACTACATCTTATGTAAAATACACAATTTCACCATTTTGTAACATATTGTAGCATTCGTCTGAAGATGTTAAAGAAATTTAACGAAATATAACGAAGTCGTTGAAAAGAGCACACTTTGGCTTTCATTATTCAGCTGCTAACCCAATTAACCTTACCATTACACTAATTAATAATTAGACAGCTGTGATCATTCTTCCTATATATATATATATATATATATATATATATATATATATATATATATATATATTATTATGATATGTAAAATCGAGAAAAATATTGGTTTGTTCAAAATATTTCAAAGTTCAAAAATATTAAAATAATTTAGATAAGTAGGATAATAACCAACAAACATTTCGAAGAAGGAAAGTCTTTAAATTTTTGGATTACCTGTATTAAACAAAATGTAATCTATGCATAAATTATTTTCTTTGTTATAATATACTTGAGTGACCCGCATAATTTTAAGTGAAATCCAAAGACAATTGAACCGGGTTTTCCAAATACATTAATGCAGTGATTAAGGACAATAGAATAGATTTTAGAAAGAGGTTTTTGTTAGTTTTTAAGAATTGTAGAAAAATATTATTTGTAAATAAGTTTTAGGAAATTTTATAATTATAGGTAAAAATTTGTTTGTTATCGAAATGAAAAAATGGGAGAATTGTGACGAGCTTTGATTGGCGGAGATTAAAAAAGGTGGGATAGGTATGTAGGAATGAAAGTTTAGCTAGATTTTTGAGAGAGAAAAGATAATCAGTTGGTTTCCAAAGGTGCAAGGCGAACGGCCGTTGTTTCTCGGGTAGTTTCCCAGAGGTAGGAAGCAGTAGCAGTGAAAGTTTGTGAGTTTTCGTGTAGTTAGTGTATCTGACAGAAGCTGATCCAGTAAAAGATTGTAAGTCATATTTTTCTACTTATATTCCAAGAGTCACTGTTCAGGCCAACGAGAGATTCAGTTTATCGTAAAGAAAAGATATTCCAAGAGTCATTTTTCACTCAGGCCAACGAGAGATTCAGTTTATTGAGAGAAGAAGAAGCTAGCATAATTTGAACGATTTGTGCATTTGAAGGAGATCATTAAGGACGATAAACTTGCTATAATTTGTTGTAAGATTGCTGATTACCTAGGGGGCGCCTGAGAGTAGATAATATAGTCTACAAGGAACAAGGATTTGGACCACTCATCATCAGAGAGAGATATTTTTGTTTTCTGCAGTTTTTCTTTTAATGATAACACAATTTTTACACTTAATTTAGAAAGTATATAAATATTTTGATTAGGAGAGTTAGAATAATTTGGGATTTTTAGATTTCAATTAATATTGTTTGTACCATTAATTTTGAAGGTTCACGTACGTAGAACAAAATTTTGAGAATCATTATATGAGATTTTGTTTATTGAAAACATTTGAGTGTGAATTATTTCATTACTTTTTATTTCAATATATAGTGTTATATCATATGTGTTTTTTATTATTCCGGTATTCTTTGGACCTTACCTTTCACATGTAATAGCATAGATATTGGAGCACGAATTTAACCCTGAGATAAGAGAATTAAAAAGTGTGATAGAGTCATAATCATATCATTTAAATAATTTTAATTAATTAATTAATTAATTAGCTAATAAATTGCTTGGCGCACCAAGACTTTAAATATCACAATAATATATATATATATATATATATATATATATATATATATATATATATATATATATATATATATATATAAAATTATAAAAATGTTTCGAACCTCATCAAGAGTATTTTAAAAATTAAAAATATTTTTTTAATGCTCAATTGAAGTCCTAAGACATAAATAATTTTTTCAGGAAAATATATCTCAACGATCAAGTACTGACGCCAGAGATATTCCATAAAAAGAATCCATTCGAACCGAAAATTCGCAGAACCAAAGCAACTTCCCACATCTTATTATCACTACCACCATCTTCAATTGGATTCTTCGTCTTCCCAGGAGCCAGAGTTCCAGTATGCATTGAAAAGGAAAAGGAGACCAAGCTCTTATTAGAAGAAATAGAAGAGGATCAGAATATGCCGTTGTCGGAAGAAGTTGCCTTGCGGTTGGGAACCAGAGGAACCTTTACTAAGCATAACTTTTTGGAGCAAATGGCCCAAAATCTGAAAGAAGAGATGAAATCGGATGATAATTATTACAATAATCCATCCAGATTTTATGCTACATATTCAGGTATGTTTAACATTTACCAAAGGTTTATTTACTAAATATATTTATGGTACTTAACGAGTGATTGCGACAACAGTTAGTTTCATGGACATAAAAAATATTTTATTTATTATTTATTAATTTTATTTTAACGCTTCGCCTTTTCTCTCTCTTTCTCTATAGGTGTACAACCCTTAAGTGGGTCTATGCTGCCTGTACGTTGGCTCTCTATCGGTTTATCATATCTTCTCTTCAATTTTGTATTTCCATGGCGTTTAAATCTTCTAAGATATTATCTTTCCATTCAGTCCAAACTATCTAAACTTTTAAGGAGGAGTAACATTTAGGTCACAACTATTTTTTATTTAAGCCTATATAAGTTCGATAGGGTTCAGCTCACAATGATAAGAAGGGAGAGTAGAACAATTGTGTTCTTTTTACGAGCCATTTCGTCGACAACAAATTTCTTGTATTTGACACTGCCTGGAGTCCGCCCATCGCATCTCAGTGACTTACATTGTGTCTATAGTTGTCATATGTTATTAAGTCATCGATTTCTTTGATGGCGTTTTATTTAATTTCTTTACTGAATTCTATTTTGGCAATAACTAAATATAGTTTTATTCTTGTATTTATTTTATTCGTTTATATATTATTTTTCTTTCAGATACAAACGAAGATTTTAATGGTTTCGAAGGGAAAAGCAAAAAACATTTCCTCGAACGAACAAAATTGGGCGACAAGCATAAAAAGGTTTTCGACTTTGAGAAAAAGAGAGACTTCTTCAAGAAATATTTGCAAGAAAGGAGTAAAACTGTTAAACCAACACTTAAAACCGGCGATAAACTCACAAGAATGGAACTATCCAGTAGCGAGATAGAGAGATTATTGAAAGAACGAGCTGTCGAGAGAGCTGCACAGAAGAATATTATCTTCACCGATGAAGAACTGGACGCGTTAATTAAGAAAGCAAGTAGGAGCTTACATAAGTCTAGGCATAGAAGATCTGTACATCATAATATCGCGAAGAGGGATATTAATAGGCAACTTTTGGAAAAATATAGTCAAATGAATGAAAATGGTCATCACTATAATCCAAAACATCATCATCACTATCATCCTAGTGCGAAGAAATCTGTATTAAGGAGGAAGAAACATATTCACAGAAAGCGTAGAGGTAAGTGAGAATCCGTAACGTTCAAATATTTTTTGAATATACGGTATTTCTATAGACCAAAAGTTTTTAGGAGGCTGATATCTAAGGAATCAGTAAATACTGTAAAATGATCAGATAGATCATCATATCACGCAACAGCTTACAGGGTTTAGGGTCGCCATGTAATTAATACCTTATTTAATTTGTCGTGATCAGCATTTATTATCACTGAATTGCGAGCTGAATACTGCTGAAGCTAAGGCATTATTTTCTTCGCTTGGATATCTTTAATTAATACACATTCACTTAACGAAGTCTACATTTAGTTTACATTCATTGAATGTAAAAGTGGACTTGATGGTGGACAGTGTGTTTATGAGAAATTTAAAGAAGGCGCTAATATTTTATCTAAATGAAACAAATGAAGGCAATTACATGAAATTTTGGCAAAGATAAACAGGTTAAAAATATTCTTCAGGAGTTCACTGAAGGTTTGTGTACAGGATTAAAACTCCAACTGGTAAAGCTTTGATTATCATTCTTATTGATTTGTTGGTTAAGGTTTATTAGAATTTGTTTCAGATTACACGAAAGACAACCACGAAGAAATTACTTCTCGTGTGTTCGAAGATTATTTTGGTCAAATGATCTTCTTCTTCAAGTGTCACCTCCGTGACGGAGGTCGGTAATTATCATAGCTATTCGAATTTTACTGCTCATTTCATGTACATCCGTTTGGCTCTCTCAGGTTGCGCATCCATGATATTCTGAGCCTCAATACGCCGTTCTTTCCTTGGATATATTACTTTGAACCATTACCTAACAGTAACTGGAAAATGAGAGAGCTCTTAGATTGGTTAATAAGCAAAAAAGTAAATGATAATTGACTCAATTTCAAAATATCAAAGATTTTAAGAACTTTGTTATAGTGTTTTGATAGTAGCTCTAATTTGTCTTGTCCAAAAGGTTTATAATTTCACTATGGACATTATCGAGTCCAGCAGCTTTTTTCGCTTTGTTTTTCAAGACGTACTCTATTTCCGATGTTAAATTTGTAATTATTTTCTAAGTAACTGTTTGATAATATTGTGTGCTCTATGATGTAAGAATAAATTTTGTATATTTTTGTGTATGATGTCAGTACACTATTATCCATATTTGTTAGCGTCTTACATTGTTTATTAATTTTGATTCCGGATATTTCTGTAATTTTCTTGAGGAAAAGCTTCTTCTTTAGAAGAACACAATCTATAAGATACTCTGTAATATAATTTACATACGTATGGGGCCTTATTGTGAGGAAATTCTTGGCGAATATACCAGATCTTCGTATTAAGACATATCCTTAAAAAATCCAGATAATATGATATCCATTTTACATCAGTTTGTAGGTTTGAAACAGCATATGCTAGTATTGTAAGAAGCAAGATATATGGAGCAATGTAACACTTCGACAATTATCAAATTGATAAGATTGGTAACAATACTAGCATACGCAGATGATATGGACCTTGTTGTACGTACGACCTATAAATCCAGAATAATTTGTGCTGCACTTTTCAACGTCTTAGAAAAAATCAGTCATCAACAAAAATAACATTTGCAACATGGGACATAACTTTAATGTTGGTGATTATAATTTTAAAGTAGTTGTTCAACACTTATTTTATCTGGGAAGTATGGTAAACAACAATAACATAATATCGGAAGAGATAAACCATAGAATAATGCTTTTCATCATTCAATCTTAGATTATCCACTGTTGGACATATATCTCCCTTATAATTTTCCATCTATTTCGATCTTGTGCCTCTTACATCCAATTCCTATGACGTTTTAGATCGCCAGTCCAACGTGTTGGCGGACGACCTCTGCTTCGGTAGGCATCATCTTTTGGTGTCCATTCCAGTATCCGCTTTGTCCATCTGTTATCTGTCATTCGAGCCACGCGACCTGCCCAGTTCAATTTCAGTGTTGCTACTCTCTCTACTACATCAGCCACCCCTGTTCTTTGTCGTAGCTGCCCATCGCCTTTTGACACACACGGATCTTTTGAACTGTTCTCCTTGTCATGGTCAACGTTTCCACACCGTAAGTCAACACTGGCAAAACACATTGATTAAAGGTTTTTCTTTTAAGGCATATTGGTATATCAGACGATTTGAAAATATGGGTCAGCTTGCCGAAGGCTGCCCAAGTCAGTCTTATACGACGGAGAAGCTCAACGGTTTCTTTATCTTCTCCTATGCGGATCTCATGACCTAGGTATTTATAGGTGATTACCTGGTCTATGGATCTTGTTCCTACGCATATATCTTCGCTGACTACAAAATTTGTCATCATCTGGGTTTTAGATATATTTATTTTCAATCCCCCTTTTAGCGAGGAAAGGTAGAGCTGATTTAAAAGTTCTTTGGCCTAATCTATCCTAAAAATTGTAAATTATTTTCTAGTCGTTTCGTATTATTTTTGTAAATAGTTTATAAATATGTGAAAGTAGACTTATTGGCCTGTAATTCCTGAGGTCGTTAGCATCCCCTTTTTTATGAAGTATGATAATTTCTGCGTTATACCACTGGGTTGGTGTTATTGCTTCCTGCAAACATCTAGTGAATAGTTTGGCAAGAACCTGCCATAATCTTTTTCCAGCCACTTTCAAGGCATCTGCCGCTATTTCATCCCCTCCGGGGACTTACTGTTTTTCATTTCTTGCACTGACCTTCGAACTTCATTGGTTGTAACGTCCGATAAAATTTCAGATCCCTGATTGATTATCTTTGGTAATGATCCACTCCGTTTACATTGCTGTTCTTTGTATAGTTGTCTATAAAAAGTCTCTATCGTGTTCATAATTTGAACTCTATCCTCAATGATTTGCCCCTGTTCATTTCTTAATAATAATAATTCTTAATTCTTAATAATGCTCTTAAATATATGTTATTACGGACTATTTAAATACTCGAGAAGCCGCTGCCTAACAAGTAAGACAATGATCCTGATAGAACCTTAATATTTTCAGTATAATTTCCAATGTACGGTTGTAAAACATGAATATTTTCTAAGATAAATTAAAATAGGCTATTATTATTCTGAGGAAGAGGAAAGTCCTGAGGTAATTACTAGGGCCAATAAACTGGAATCTGACGTCGATATAACTTTAAACTATACAATATAGTCTACTTGAAAATACAGAGCAAACGTGAAACCTATCCTGCACGACGTATTTCATTGGCGAAGCCTGAGGGAAAAAGATGGAGAGGTAGGGTAAGGTTAATCTGGGGGATGGTATACCTAAGAATGCCAAGAAGATCGTTTTTGTTAACTGGCATTAAGCTAAGTAGAATAGGACCAAATGGAGGAATAAGCTTAGGAAAATCAAGGCTCAACTGGGACCGCAGTAATAATAATAATAATGATAATGATGATCATTCTTCTGGTTCTAATATCTTTATTTTTATAAATTTAAAATATCTTCCATCAACTCGCTGCTTTATTAATACTGTGTAATTACAAATTAATCCATTAACTTTTAATCTCACATTATTCCTAATTTCCTGAATTTGTATAGTTTTACCGTATATACTTGTGACATATATCGATTAGTAGCTTAATTACAGTTTGTTTAACTTCCTTCAAACTATAGATTGCCTAATAGGTATGAGGAAATTATTGCAATCATTTCCTCGGCAAATTATATTTACCAACTTTCAAAAGTAAAAGGTTTTTGTTCTATGCAGAGGGCAATACACTTGTATACACTACACACTACACATGTTAGTGAGATTATAAATATAGCTTCGGGACTAGTTTGGGACGCAGTCTATTATACATTTTTACCTCAACAACAACTATAGTGTAATAATTCAGCTGGTGTCTATAAAGCTATATTTTACTCCTTGACTTCAACATTTTATTTTAATATCGTCGATCGAGCAGAATCGGACACAATGGGCATGAGAAACAATTCGAAATCACAATTACATTCGAACTGTTCAAATACAGTATTTCATTATTTCTAATTCTCAATTATAAATAAGTAAAGCCAAAATCTATTGAGTTGTTTGTTACTTCTGGTGTAGAAATCACAGCAATTTTTATATTATTCTGTCGAACAGGTTTTAATCATTATTACTCTGTTGACGCCACCTTTCTAGCTGTTAGTTTGTATTCACGCTGTTTGAATATACATTCTGATTACCAATCCAATAGATTTGATCAGCAAACAATGTAAAATAATCATTTCATTTTTGTCGTAGGAAAACCCATTAAATTTATTAAAAAATCGCATCGGATAGCTCGACTTCTTTCGAGAATCTTCAAAAAATGGTGTCGTAATCTTCTGAAATTAACCAAAATTATCAGGAGAGCCCGCAGAAAGCTAAAATATAGAGCTCTTCGGCCGCGATGGTTCAAATTCGAAAAAATTTAATATTTTCTATCTGTAGTTAATCTAGATTTTACACTGGAATATTATCAAATATTTTAATGAATAAAGTAATATTCTGCTAGTTAGTGGTTTCTTTTAAACGGTTTTACTCCTTTTTTTTAATGTTATCTGTGTGTTTATTCCGTTTTTGAATTCTTTTGAGGCTTATTTCCTTTCTGATCGAACCCTAGGAAAATATCCAGTCGAGACTAAGGCAGAAAGTTTAGTATTGTTTAATAAATTCGACCTAGACTTAAAAAAAAAATCTTTAGGAATGACAAACTAAATTCCACAATTTTATCAAAAATTATTGTTTAATGCATAGTTTTCGTGACAATTCAATTTTTTAAATAAAGTCTGTATAACAATCTGGTTGAAAAGTTTACAAAGCATAAATAGAAAAAAAACATTCATATTTTAAAAAGTGAATTTATTGTTGAGTACATTCCCCACTAAGTTCTATACACTTTTTTCAGCCATAGGCTACTTTACATATCAAATATTTGAAATGATTGTCTGGTTGTCTGGTGAGTTTTCAAAATAGTCTTCTATAGGCTGCAACTATTATAATGTCAATGAAAATCTGATGGTGCCAAATCGGATGAATAGGGTTGATCTTTAAAGCATTCAAAAAACATCTTATAAACCATACCACGATTTTCGTTAACGATTTCGATTTCTTCAATTGTTCCGAGTGCACAAAAACAGAATTCAGTTCGCTCTGCGGTTGCTTTTTCAATTTATGATCAATTTTATTAGGATTAGAAAGTATCATTAAATGCATTTTTGATCCAAACTTAATAAATGCACTCATCTGTCCAATAGCTTCCTCAGACCTGATTCATTGTTTAAAATTAATAACACTGGCAGACATTTGTTGAGATCTCTCTATGGGGTTACATCCCAAATCGACCCTTGCTCTCCTCCAAACTATGAATTCAATATTTCAACTCCCGGGCCAATTTTCTCCAGGTTCTCACCTCTAGCAAATTTTGATCATCCGCTGCCACTTCATCCTTCCACCTTTTCCGTGGCCTTCCGTTTGTTCTTGCGCCCTGCGTTTTATTATCTAGGGTTCTTTTTGACAATCTTTAGGTCTTTATTCCCACTACACGACCAGCCCATCGAAGTCTCCGAAGTTTACCGAATTCTGAGATTGGTGCCTCTTTGAACAGTTGATAGAGTTCATAGTTGTACCTTGATCTTTATACTTTGTGTTCGTTAACAAGTCCAAATATCTTCCCTAGGACTTTTATATAAAAGATTTCCAGCTTTTGATTAGTTTCTCCTGTCAGCACCTATGTCTCGCATCCATAAGATACCATCGGTCTGATAATAGTTTTGTAGACCCCAGTAAGCTTTATTGAATTTTTAGTTCTTCTTTTCTATCCGTGTTTAATGCAACTGTTAGATATGTAATATAGTCCGGTCTCTTGTGTCCATGTTTTTAATTGTAAATATACTTCTGCCTCCTCTTCTGTTCTGCGAGATATAATGCTAATGTCATCGGCATAGACGGCAATCTATATTGATTTATTTGTTAGGAGATTACCTTTTCCTATATTTAGCTGTCTTATTACATATCCAAGAGTCAGGTTGAATAGTGTCGGTGCTAGCCGGTCTCCTTTATTTAATTATTTGGCTATTAAAAAGTTCTTAGTGAGCTTATTTTGTACTCGAGCAGTTGCTGTTGATGTTTTTGTTCATTTTACTAGTCGGATGTATTTTTGAATATGTTGTGGACATCAATGTCGTATTCCCACGATTTGATTAAAATTTGTTTCATGCTGCCCATAGTCTCAGAAATTGGTTTAGTCAGTAGTCTATCATTCATTACTATATAACGTAGATGCGTATATAATCAATTAATAATTGATTTAGCAATAGCAGTTCTTGAAAAAAAGATCAGACAAAAAGTCAGACTCTTGTAGACTTTATAGTTCAGTCGTCAGTGATTTCATCTCTGATCTGATCTGATAAAAAAGAGACGAATAAGCTAAATTTTGCTAAGGATGTCAATTTTTGGATCCCAAAAAGATGTAAAAAGGTTTGTTGCTTATATCCCTGGATTTTCCCCTAAAATCTCCCTTGTAGGGAAGGGGAACAACAGGAAAACATCGATTTACTAAGAATCTGTACGCTGCAGAAAAAATATTTCGAAGAAGATATGTAGCTGAGATAATTTTGAACAAAAATGTTTATTAGCACTTTCTGTAGAAAAAACTGTTCTCTCAGAAATAACACTTGCAGCGATCGGCGTTTTTTAATGCACGAAATCAATTTTTTAAATAAAATTTGTATCAACTCGACAGTAAAAATTCGATATCTTTTGATCAGAGTGACCTATCGACAAAAATAAAAATGCGTTTTAAAGGTAAAGAGTAAAGCTTTTCTAAGTAATTTTTTATATTTTGTCGCAAATAAAGTCTGGTTCTATACAGCTGTTAAATAAATAAACCTTGCGCGATTTCTGCCATTTTTGCTATTCTCTCGAAATCAATAAAATGTATCACTTCCGCTGATCGCTTACTGTTAAATTTTTATTGCTAGAATCTAATCTTTAAAACTTATAACATAAAATGTTGATTGAATGTTTTGGCAAAAAATATGAAGCATTTGAAATATGTGTTGTTCTGAAGCTATTTTCTTGTGGCATTGTAAATTAATTACTATTAAACTGGGAATAAGCCACAATTAAAGAAAAAAATACATTTATTGACGTTTCAATTTCCACTTCGGAAATCGTTCTCCGAACGATTTCCGAAGTGGAAATTGAAACGTCAATAAACGTATTTTTATCTTTAATTGTGGCTTATTCCCAGTTTAATAGTAATTAATTTGAAATATGCCTAAAAACTATGATGAGATTGAATGGAATTTGTAACTGAAGTTGTTAGTTTCGAAAAACGTACAAAAATAAGCCGTTTTAAATGTTTTCAGATCGTTCATAACGTGAAAGTTTAAATTCAGCGTTTTTTAAGCATATTTCAAATGCCCCATATTTGTTATCACAACTCAAAATTAAAATTTCATCTCATAGTTTTTGAAAATTATGCTCTAGAACTGGAAATTTCATAGTGATATATTTTATTAATCTTATAAGAATCATAAAAAAGGCAAAAATCGCGCAAAATTGAACACAAAAGCCTTTTATCTTTACCTTTGAAACGCATTTTAATTTTTGTCGATAGAACACTCTGATAAAAAGATATGGAATTTTTATATTCGAGTTGACACAAATTTCATTAAAAAATTTATTTCGCGGGAGTAACTGACATTAAAAATCGGCGGTTACTTCAAGGGTTGTTTCTAAGGAACCAGTTCATTCTACATAAAAAGTCATAATGGAGTTAATCCTAGATGCTGCCACTCTGACTAGTTCGATTGATGTGCATTCGTACCATTCCCTTAAGTTACGCAACCCTGATATTTTTCTCCTTCCTACACTTCTCTTGCCCTGGATTTTTTCTTGTATAATTAATTGAAGTATGTTGTATCTTTCATTATGCATAACATGCCCCCCCCCAGGTATTGCAGCTTTCGTGTCTTAATGGTTTCCAATATTTTCATTCTTTTGTTGACTCTTCTCATGACTTCGTTGTGTATTACATGCTTTAATAATCGACGCGTTAAGTGTCCATGCTTCCATCCCATAAACCAGAGTCGAGAAAATATAACACCTTGCCAGCCTAACTCTCAAGTCGAATTTCAGTTCTCTTACACAAAGTACCTTTTTCATTTCATTGCAGTTTTTTCGTTCTTTCTCTATTCGAACTTTGATTTCTTTGGAGTAATCGTTTGTGTGATTAATTATTGTGCCAAGATAGTGGTAATTTCAACTTGTTCTAAAGCACTACCGTTAATTGTCAGGCTTTCACCATTACTTTGGGTTTTTGATATCATCATAAATTTTATTTTCTTGGTGTTTATTGATAATCCATATTCTTCTCCATACTCAACTATCTTGTTCATTAGTTTTTGGAGGTCATGGAGGTTGTCTGCTATTATCACAGTATCGTGCGCATATTTAATGTTGTTAATTGGTGTTCCATTGACCTTTATTCCTGCTGTTTCCCCTTCAAGAGCTCTTTTCATAATTTCTTCAGAGTATACATTGCATTGAATAGTAGTAGAAATAGTACTGCCATTTCTCTAACCTTTTTATGTAGGTTGTATAGGTCGTATTTGCTCTGAAGATCTTCTATTTTCTTTACATTTTTCCTCATAGTAAGTTTGTTTTGCCTCTTTTTTTTCTGATTTCATTGGTAATAATTTTATAGTTGTAACTATCTTTGCTCTTGGCTTGTCTTCTTTGGTCCATCCTGCCGAGTATTTCGTCGGTCATCCAGTTGTCTCTCTTTCTTATCGGTTCTTTTAATATCTCTTTGTATGGAACGAGGAGGCAGTTTTTTAACGTTTCCAATTGTTGGTTTATCTCGTAGGTGTTAGTATCTAATTTATAAATGTTTTCGTATATTTTCTGTACGAGTTTCTTTTTTATATCATCTTCTTTCAGTTTTCTAACATCTAATTTTGGAGTTCTTTGGGGTTTGGAGATTTAATGGTGTTATGATATCTCTCTTGAATCATTATATAATCGATTTGGTTTCTTACCACTTTTTCCGGTTTATCTGCTAGTTAATTTTTTCATCTTTTTTGGGATCCCAAAAATTAACATTCTGAGCAATATTTAGCTTCTCCGTATGATTTTTAGAGATTTAGTGGCGTTTTGTCTCTGACGATTGCACTATTATCAAAAAAAAAAACGCGAATCAAACGTCACTGTACTCATTCAAATGGATATTTCGAAAATAAATAAGAGCTATACCTCAATTCTTTCGTGTTTTGTTAATTTTTTGTACAAAAATGTGTAAAAATTAAATTCTTTTTATGTTTTCAGCCACCAATGTAAACTTGGGAGATCTCAAAGCCAAAATAGCAGAACGGAAGAAATTTTGGGATGATAAACGTGACGAAATTTTGGGAAATTCGTTAACTTTTAAGGAAAACCTTAAGGACAAAATTAGAGAACTAAAATCAAACATGAGAATTAAAAGAGACATAAATATGGATCTTTTAGATAAGAACTCGCCTTCTCATAAAAAGAAGAATAAATTAGCTAAACAAACCGAAGCAATTGAGGCAACAATACGGGAATCTGGTCAAACGAGTGCAGATATAATGGATGAACTTGAGAAAATTGATGTAGGAGACGTAGAAGAGACAGAACGTAAAGGGGACGTTTACGCCGAATTAGCCAATTCTGAAGATTTAGAAGAAATGGAGCTCTTTGATCATAATAATAATGCTCTAAATCGTAGAAAATATAAACTCTTCGACAAAAAACACAAAATAGATCCTTTTGCGATCGAGCATCCAACAATTGATATTGTAGATCCAACTAGGCCAAAACAAAAAAAGAAAAAATCTAAGTCTGACGATAAATTACAGTTTTTAACTACTTCAGAAGAGTTCACCGATATAGAAGAGGATGTGCCTTGTATTCATGAATACTTTGGAAATGGGTTTATGTCTGAAAGGGAAGGAAAGAAGAAAGGCACAAAACAAACGGATGACTTTTATGGGCGACTTAGAAAAAGGGTTTGTATTATTTGTTTATAACTTTCCTTTTAACACTGTATGACGTATTACAGTTTTACAGTTTTAGTATAGGTTTTCAATTAATTATATCTTATTCTATTACCTCATTATCTTTTTAGAGATCTGTCGACAATAGTTTGAATGAAAACAACAAAATTGAAGACACAAAAGGGAATATAGATACGGAAATTTTACAACTCGAAGAAGAAGTGCCACCGGTGGAAGATAGTCCAATGCTGGTGGATATCCCAGTTATTGATAAACCGATTACTACAGAAGTAAGTAAAAAATTTTCTTATTAAACCTTGTTAGATATGTGCATCAGCGGTGGGTTGTTGTTGAACGAAAAAGAGGTCAATAAAAGGTAGAAGGCAATAGTAAATGGGTATTTCTAATTCATTGATCAGATCGTCATCAGAACGTTGCAGGCGACTTCTCAACTTCAACTTCAAATTTTTGGCACAAACTAATCAATAGATCATTCCTCAAGAGGAATTTCAGCAAAGCATTGAGCTCAATATCCTTTAATGAACATGTTTTTTTGGCTTGCCAATACAAATTGGTGGCCTGAGGCATTTGCAACAAAAAGCATTATTTTTTCATTTCATGAAGCAAGTGGTTTTTTAGCCATCTTAAACTTTACTTTTGAACTCCTAAGTGGAGCATAAGAGCTTTAGTGAAAATGCGCCATAGGGTTCTATTTTACGCTAAGGCCTTCATCTAATTCCAAGACTTTTCGTGACCTTTTATCTCGTCCATGATGGATTTTCTCCAAGTTTGTACTGGGGAACACTTTTTCTTCTTCCTTGAGGATTCCACTCTAGTACAATCTTTGCAATATTGGAATTATTTTTTTTGAGTGTGTGACCTTTACAACCCCACTTTCTGGACTTTATTTGATGTTCTACCCTTTTTTGTTTAGTCAGGTGTAGTAGATCTTCGTTTCTGATGATGTTAGGCCAGAAAATACGAACAATTCGTCGTAGACATTTATTAATAAATATAATAAATATAATATAAGTTTATATGTAAGGGTTTTTGTCAATTTCCAGATTTCATATCCGTAAAGTAGAACAGACATGCCATTTGACTGGAATATGCGGATTTTTGTTCTTGTAGTATACTCACCAGATCTCTAAACAGGGTTCAGCATGCTGAATGCTTGTTGAGCTTTTCGTATCCTCATACGAATATCGTTCTCTGTACCTCTGCTTTCTGTTATTACACTTCCAAGATACTTAAAGTTTTCTACATTTTCAACCTGCATGTTGTTAGTAGTAAATAGCGTGTTGTTTCTTGCATTTATTCCCATGGATTTGGTTTTAATAATATTAATTTTCAAACCTACTTTATTGGCTTAAGTGGAAAGTGTTTCCAATTGATCAGTCACATCTTGGAATCTTTGTCCTAACAGGCAGATATCTTCAGCGTATTCCAGATCGCTAAGGCATGTGGTTAATGTCCTCTTGTGTCTGAATCTTGAAGAGACTATAGTCTACTGCTATGATAAAAAGAAACGGAGAAAGCACGCATCCCTGTCTGACTCCAGTAAGTATGTCAAATTCGTCGCTGTTGATTCCATTATGTGTCACGTTGCAATTTGCCTCAGTGAACAGTGACTTTATAATGGAAATTATTTTATGCGGGATGTTTCTGAGTTCTAAAATTTTCCATAAAGCAGCATGAGATGTCAAAGGCACGCTCGAAGTTAACAAAAACCATGTATAGGGGTGTGTTTTATTAAATCGATTGTTCCATTATTACCCTCACAGTATTAATGTGGTCTATGCAGGAGCATTCTAATCCTGGTCTAAAGACTGCTTAACCAGCTCGAAATTCAATTTTGTTTGTTAATCTTTTAAGTATGATGGCCGCGAAGATTTTATTTATTGCAGTAAGCAAGGATATTCCTCTTCAATTTTTGCACACTATGAGGTTGTCCTTTTTTATAAGGTTAATAATGTGACCCCTTTTTCGGCCCTCAAGATATACGCAAGTCTACATTTTGGGGGTTTTCGACAATTTATCTGTGTTTTCTCCGGGCGTGTCTAGCATCTCCTGAAAATGCTCTTTCTGTCTCCCTACTTGGTCATTTGTTTTAGTAAGTAATTCGCCTGTCTTACATTTTTTGTTAGTCGTCTAGTAATTTGGTACAGCTCTCTAGTTCTAGTGTGTTGTGCAGCTGTTTCAGCTTGTTTTGCCAGTTCTTCAGCCTACCTTTGTTTGTCTCTTCTTGCATTTCTTTTAACTGCTTTATTTATTGTTTCATATTCTTGTTGTCGGTTCGCTCTTGTTTCTACAGTTCTTGCTTGCAAAATATCTTTCTTTTGCTGTTTTCTTTCCTCGATAAAATTCCAAGTTTTATTTGACATCCAGTCTTTTCTATATTTCTGTTTTTTATCCAGTTTATCTTCAGCTATTTCTGTTAAAACATTTTGTCCTTTGTTTTGTTTGTTCTATTGTTTTGAGTTGGAGTTCCTCCCTAAAAATTGTGTCGTCCTGGAGCCGTTTTTAATCTGTCTAGATTGGTCTGTTGGTGTTTCGCGTGATTTTGTTTTTTCTCATCTTGAATTTTGGTTGTTATAATAGCCTTAAAGAAAAGCTTCATACTCTGTTTTGAAAACATATACGGCGTCTGAATCAGCAGATAATTTTTTCTCCGCACAAGTTCAAGTGTCGAATGCCGTAAAGCATTTTATTTATTTTTTTATTTTTTTTATAGTTTCATAGTCTTGAGGCCCATGTTTTTGAAGAAGCCCTTAACAACACTGCCTACGAAACTCAGGCAACTAAACCTGAGTATAAAGATGACAACGATTCAATATTCACAAACATGATTGAACACAACGAGCTTCTTGAAAATTCCGTGGATGACAAACTAGACGCAGCTAAGGTAAATTGATAAATCCATCTATTTATCGTGATTTACTTAACTAACTAACCAACGTAACTTTGTTTCTCTCTTAAAGACGTTTAAAGATACTGTGAAAAAATATTTGTTTACTATGTTACAGAATACTTCAGAAACTCATAACTCCACAACATCTAGCACCCCAGAAGATATAAAAAATGGTAATAGTTCGACAACCAGCAGCAATGTTAACACGACCAATATTAATGGTACGGAGAAAATTAAATCAGGACATCCTGAAACAATGCCAATAGCTGTAGAAGTTAAACCTGAACATTCGAAAGCTGTGGAGTTGGAAGCAGTAAAGAAAGAATCTGAGCAAGTGAAATCAAATGAGGTAAAAATTTGTCTATATTAAAATATGCTTTTTGTTATTTAGCCCAGAGAAATTTGATCTTTTATTTAATGTTTTTTTATACTTTTTATGACAATTTGTAAAATTCTTCTTGTTTTTTCTTCTTCTTCTTCTTCTTGCTTCTTGTAACTACGCTTTAAAGCCTGGTTTTTCTTAAATATTAGCCTAATACATTGTTCAAATTATCGCAACCATCTTTTTCTTGGATGGTTTCGTTTTAGATGTGTCAGGTCTTGTCTCTACCGTGTTTAATATAGGTATAAATGCTGCTTTATAGATTCTTGTTTTTGCGTCATGTCTTAGGTGTTTGTTTCATTTCATTTCTGATTCGTGCATTAAAGTCACCCATAAGAATTAAGGGTTCTTCATGAGGTATTTCATCCAGGATGGTTTGCAATTGTTCGTAGAATGCCTCTCGTTTCTCCTTAGGTTTGCAGTCTTTGGGGCTATAGATAGATATGACATTTAATTTTTGGTGGTCCATTGTGATATTCATTTGTATTATTCTTTCGGAGATATAACGGCAGTTATTTATGTTGTCTTTAAATTTTTTATGGACAAATATACCTACATCTGCTTTTTCTTTTTCTACTTTATGATTTGTTTGTGCATATACATTTCTTTTTCTCTGTAGATATTTGCGCAAAGTTTCAGTCTTACATTTACTATTTTTAATTTACTGGATTAAAATTCATTATCTTTCCTTTTATGTTTCCAAAGACATGGAAGCCTACTCCTCCCTCCCTCATCATCATCCAGCGTCAAGAGTCCACTGCTGAACATAGGCCTCTTCCTCATGTTTCCAACCCCGTCTATCTTGCGCCCCTCTTAACCAGTTTTTATTGAGTCTTCTTAAATCGTCAGTCCATCTTGTAGGTGGTCGACCGACGCTTCTCTTGTCTTCCCTTGGCCTCCATTCCAATAACCTCTTTGACCATAGCCCATCTGTCATTCTGGCTATGTGTCCTGCCCATCTCCATTTTAGTCTGGCTATCTTCACGATCATGTCAGTCACTCCGGTTCTTCTCCTGATGTGTTCGTTGATTATTATGTCTCGCAGAGTTATTCCTAACAAGGACCGCTCCCTTCTCTGCGTGACTCTCAGTTTGGTAGCTGTTGCTTTTGTTAAGGTAAATGTTTCTGCTCCGTACGTCAAGACTGGGAGAACGCACTGATCAAATACCTTTCTCTTTAGGCATGTGGGCAGGTCACTTTTAAAAGTTTCTCTCAGTTTTCCAAATGCTGCCCATCTAAGGCCGATTCTTCTCTTCAGTTCATGAGCCTGGTTATCCCTGCCAATCATAATTTCATGTCCCAGGTATTGATATATATCTACGAGTTCTATTTCTTTCCCACCAATTCTGATGTTCTGGTTGGGTACCAAAGTGGTCATGATTTTTGTTTCCGCGATATTTATATTTAAACCTACATTTTCTGTAGCCACAACGAGTTCCTGTACCATTTCTCTTGCCATACCTAGATCTTCAATTATTATAAGTATATCATCGGCGAAACGTCCTCCTTCCCTATCTTTAACATTACCTTTTGATTATATTATTCAATATTAATATAAGTAAAATTTATACAATTTTAGGAAGAAAACTCTCTAACAAATGAAATAGTAGAAACTTTACATCGCAAAAAGCGTTCGACTGACGAAGATCCCTACAAAAAGAAAAAGGAGTACAAGAAAGAAAAGTTGGATAAAAAAAGCGAAGACAAGAATCAGAAGAAAAAACATAAAACTACTGAAACTTTAAACGAACAAATGACCCACCTCAAAGAAAAATTACAAGAGAGAAAAGACGAACTCGATAAATTAGTACATAAACAAAAAGGTATTGATAAAGATAAGAAAGAACAGTGGAAGAGTAAATTGCATAAAAAGAAACGATCGCATTTGAAACGAGATAAAGATGATTTAAAATTTGAAATTGAATTTCCTGAATTTAACTCCCGATTTAAGTCCCATCACAGTAAAGTAAAAAGGTCAATTTTTAATACTAGAAAAGTGTTTGGCAATTATCAACCTGTAACATCTGATTTAAAAGCTTGGAAACCTGTAGAAGTGCCCGCTCTTAAAAGAGATATATACAAAGCTAACTCAAGAAAAATGATGCCTCCAAATGACTATCCGATCTTTAAAAATATATTTAACAAACCGTACAATCCAAGAAAAAGGAGATATATCGATACTGATGTAGATATCAGAGTAAATGAAATAGACTCAGATATTAACGAAATTCATAAGGACAAAGATATATTTAATATTCCTGAAGATGATTTGTTAAAGTTTGACCTTCCAACAGGTATTGAGTTTGAACTCCTGGAAAATAAAAAGAAAACGAAACCTAAGAACTATGATATTTACGACTTTCGATCAAAATCTTTTAAAAGTAAAGATGCAGCTAAAAACATTAACGAAGGTGCCTCAAACAGTAATATAATAAAAAATGATAAGGAAAACGTAATAACCGATTCGAATTTCGACGACAAGTTGAAGGAAATTAATTCTTTTCACATTAAAGATACAAAAACAGCTAAAGTGAGTACAGTGCATCAAAACAAACAGGATATTGTGGATGATCTTAAGGATACAAAAACAGCTAACACAAAAAATGAAAATAATGAGCCCCTTGACATTGAGCCTGTTGCTATTTTTGGGCAAGACGTAGGCACACTAGATATTATTATTAAAAATACACCATCAAAAGAAATAAATAAAGACAACCACACAAAAGCGACTCTTATGATCGATCCTGTCGATATTTTCAAACAAATAATAGATATTGATGGTGATAAAATAAAAACACATAAAAAACACCAAAATAAACAGCACCATGTTGTTGACGCATTTGATATTTTTGGACCAGGTGTCAGCACACTAGATATCATTGTAGAAGATTTACAATCAGTGGAAAAAAATAAAAAAAATCACAACGAAGAGACTTTTATGATCGATCCTTCCGATATTTTTAAACAAATAACAGGTATTGGCGATTATAACGTAAAATCAGCTAAAACAAATACAAAACACCAAAACAAACAACACCATACTATTGATCCGTTTGATATTTTTGGACCAGGTGTTAGCCCATTAGATATCCTTGTTGAACACTTACAATCAGTTGACAAAAATCACAACAAAGAGAGTTTTATGATTGATCCTGCCAATATTTTTGAACAAGTAACAGGTACTGGTGATAACAATCTAAAATCAGCTAATACAAATACAAAGCACCACAACAAACAACACAGTAATGTTGAACCATTTGATATATTTGGACCAGGTGTTAGCACACTGGATATCATTGTTGAAACTTCGAAATCAACTGAAGCAAATAAAGAAAACCACAACAAAGAGATTCCTATGATTGATTCTGCGGATATTTTTGGTCAGGATGTAGGCAGATTGGATATAATAGTCAATGATCAAAATTTACTTCCAAAACCATTGATTATAAAAGGTCCCCCTGATGTGAACATCGATAAATACGAGAAAAACATATTGGATGCATTTTTTGAAGATGGTACCTATAAAGTTAAACTTCCCAATAATGATGAACTAGATTTAATCAAAGCAGGAGAGGACACTGAGATCAAATTGTTACATAATGATGAACACAATGTTGAGAAAAACGATGAAAACAAAAAAGAGGCCATTATACAAGATATAAGTGAACTTATTCCAGAAATTCAACCCAGATTCAAACCTATTGAGAGTGTGGATAGGTTATTAAGTGATGTTAAGAATTTTTTCACAAATGTTGGTAACCATTTAGATGGTTATTTAAGGCAATTTGGAATAAAATAACCAATAAGTATATTATTTAATATATATGTATTCGATTAATTTATTTATTTATATATTTGGGAATAGATTCAAAAGTCGAAGTTATGAAGTTAGGGTTATTTATTGGGGTTATTTATTATTACTGGTTATGTAGTTTAAGTTCTGTATTTTTTTTTGTAATAAAGACGTGTTTTATTTGATTTTTTCGTATGTTATTTTTGTCGTAGTTCTACAATAAACAAATATCTTGGATTAATATTTTAAAAATCAATTGCTGCACATGTTCAGTTATATATTCAGATAATTCTTAATTTAGATTTGTTATTAGCATGAATATCTTTCTGACATGTGCAACAGTTGTCTTACGTTTTTTACAAATAATATCGGCAAATTTTTGGAACTCCTATGAAATTCACATCATCATCATATAACGGGGGTCCTACGGCAATTGCCGCTTCCCGCATGTCAGCCTCCATCTTTTCCTATCTCTCCAATCTCCCTCTTCTAAGCCTCTAGATTGCATTGTTTTTGTAATTTCTCTTCTCCAGGAATTTGGTGGTCTTCCCCTTTTCCTTCTTTCTGGCGGAACATACATTAAGGCTTTCTTTGGTCACCGCTCCTTCTCCATTCTCATCACGTGACCATTGTAATTGCCTTCCTTGTATTCTATCTGAAAGAGTCTCTCTAATTCCTGTACGGTTTCGTATTTCCTCATTCCTGATTCTTTCCATTCTCGATACTCGACATGACCTTCTAAGATAATCCATTTCCACAACGTCTACTTTATCTCGTTCATTCTTTGTCATCGTCCAACATTCGGCACTATATGTGGTAATCGGTTCTACAATTGCTTTGTATACACGAAGTTTGGTATGCATCTTTATTTTATTAGACCACAGTAATGGATTCAGTATTCGGATGCATTTTTTCCCTTGGGTTATTCGATTTTGTACATCTGTATTAACTCTGCCATCTGCTGATATGATGCTTCCTAGATATTTATACTGGTTGCAACCTTTTATGACTGCGTTTTCAAGCCTCAGATCTGTGGTATTTCATCCAATTTTTAAATATTCTGTTTTGCTTATGTTTACAGTAAGCCCCCATTTGGCATATTCCCCAAATAATTTTCGATTCATATAGTTTATATCTTCCTCATCTGTTGCAACCACCACCTGATCATCTGCAAACAACAATGTATACAGAGTTTTTTTGTCCCACTTCGATGCCCATAAATCTACATTTATTTCTTCAATTCCTCAATGCTTCTTGGACGTATATTTTAAAGAGTGTCGGTGACAAACAGCATCCTTGCTTTAGGCCTTTAGTGACTTTAAATTCATTTGAAGTTCTGGTTCCAATTTTAACACAACTAACTGCATTTTCGTACAATTTATATATCGCTCGAATATACGTCGAATCCAATCCGGTCCTTTCGAGGACCTCAAACATTTTCTTTACCGGGACACTATCATATGCTTTCTCAAGGTCTATAAATACCAAATGGGTCTCTCTACTTCTTTCGACACGTTTTTCAATTATTTGTCGTAGGATAAATATATTATCAAGGCAGGATCTCCCGGTAAGAAAGCCGCTTTGCTCTTCAATATCTTGTATCTGTCTTTCAATCCTCTTCTTTAATATTCTGCCGTACAACCGGCCCACAGAGCTCGTCACACTGATACCTCTATAATTGGAACAGTCTCTTTTATTCTCTCTCTTATATATGGAGCTTATATAAGATTTATTCCAATCTTTAGGAATTTCCTGGTCTCCACACATACATTTATTAAAAAGGTCTACTATTAATTCTAAAAGTGCAGTCGGCCCATATTTAACCAGCTCTATGGGAATGTCTCCAGGCCCTGCGGCTTTTCCGTTTTTAACCTATTTTAAGGTTTCCGTCAATTCAGATAATGTTATTATAGGGATTTCCTGTCTTTCGTCTCTGTTATCTATTAATTCCCTTATCTTGTCCCATCTGTACTCTATCCTCCTTCAGCAGTTTCTTTTAATATTCTTCCGATTCATTTAACTTTATGAGAGGAATGTTGTCTTCATTTTTCTCATTTTTCCTATACTGCTTTAATGTTTTCCAAGCTTGTGCCACTTTTGTTCCACCCATAAATCTGTCCAGTTCATCACACTTAGCCTCCTAGTTTACATTTTTTGGCTTATCCACTTCTTTTTTAACTTCTGTATTCCATTTGGCGTATATTTCTCTGTCTTGAAGATCTTTGGATTGAAGCCATATGTAATATGCTTGTTTTTCTTTGAGAACTTTCTCTTCTAGTTCCGTTAACAACCATTCAGGTTTTCCTTTTTTCCGATTTTCAACTTTTCCCAGTGCTTCATTTGCCGCTTCGTGAATATATTTTTTAATTACCTCATACAGACTTTCGGGGTCTAAGTCCTTTGTTTCTATATTTTTTATTTTTTGAGCTATTCTAATTTTATATAAGAACTTTGTCGAATCTTGTTTAAAGCTTTCCAGGTTATATTTTATATTTTCTATGGTTGTTCCTATGTCTGTTACTTCATCATTTTTGTGACTTGGTTGTTCTCTCTTAAATGTCACCATTACTTTTGCAATAATCATATGGTGGTCACTTATCATATATATATATATATATATATATATATATCAAATTATTCTCGACCGTACTGTGTTAAATATGACTTGTAGTCTCAAATTATTAGACCAATTGCTGAGACTACAAATCATATATATATATATATATATATATATATATATATATATATATATATATATATGATATTATAGTGAAATATTTTATATAAATTATATTTTATATAAAGAAAGCTCTAAGTTTACCTTTTTATTTTGCTTTCTTTTCTTGTCTAGACAGCACGTTCAGTAGAAAATAATGTGTGGGTGTTAAATTGACGACATACTCAAGGTGATTTCTCAGACACTTTCCTTGTAATCCAATAAAGCAAAAAAAGAAGTATTTTATTTCAGATACGTGTACAAGTTTCGAATTTACTTAAATCAATTTGAAGTTTTTAACTGTCTATATAAAAACAATCTATTGGTAACATTAATAAAAGATAACATTAGTAAAAAACAAAGATTAACCAATATGTATTACAAAAGCTATGTTTTATCTAATAATATTTTTTTTTATTTTAAATTAAAGTGTCTGGGCAACTATGAGCCATTGACACTGGTACAAAGTTTGTTTATATACAAGTTAGGATACATTAACATCTTAATATAATTACACTAAATAGTAGTAAAGGTAACAGTCTTTTAGGAAACCAATAATGGCACTGTACATGTTTGTAGAACCAAGTGGATCACTTAAATTATTTTGAAAGTTATAGTAGTCTCTTTGAGGGTTGTAGTGGACACATTCTTGTAATATGTACTGGACTGTTAAGGACTCATTACAATGTTCACAGCGAGGATGGTTTTCAGAAGACATCAGATATCCATGAGTAGAACGAGTGTGACCTATTCTGAGCCTTCTGATATAATGAATATAATGAATAATGAATGAATAATATTGTCTTTTCTGCTCATTTGAGGCATGGTAATGGAGATAACAGTTGGTTGAATTGTGCGTAGTTTTCTATTTTGCACGTTCCAGTGTGTTTGCAAAGTGCTTAGTACGTTGTTCTTTCTTGATACTGGCCTTTAGATCTTGGTGAAGTTGTATGTTTTCCATATTTTCTAAGGAGCAGGTCAGTTTTGCTGCATGATCAGCGTTCTCATTTCCATTGATACCAACATGGGATGGTATCCAGATGATAGTTACTGAAACACCATTTTTTGACTGCTGTTGGCAGATACTGTGGTTGTATTAATTTCTGATTGAGTCAATTGCTGAGAGAGAATCGGTGCATATTGCTAATGATTTCTCATTAGCAATGGGCGAGTCTAATGCCTTGAGTATTCTGTACAGTTCGGCTGTGTGTATACTGCATCTGGGAAAAAGTCGATATGATGCTACTGTTGTATTTGAGGTACTGACGGCACAGTCGACGGCTTGTTTTTCTTTCGAGGCATCTGTGTAGAGAATTTTGTCATATCGCTGTGCCTGTATAAGTTCCTCAAATGCTTGTACCAAGAGAGTTCTGGGCGTTTCTTCTTTTTTTGTATCGGTTCAAGCTGGTAAGAACAGTAGGTAGCTGTTGGTCCACGGGGGAATTGTTGACGTAGTAAACGAAGTTGTGAGTTTTAGGTCTGTGTCTTTTAGCAAAGTTTTTAAAATTTGTGACAGAGAATGTGCTCGAGGGTAACTATTATCTGAGACAGAGTGGGGAGTATTAATTAGTTTAATTAAGAACTGGGTTTTTTGAATCAGTAGAAATTCTAGAAAACTAAGACAGTAGTAAACGTTGCCGTTTTCTAAAAAATGGAAGTTCTGAAAAGTCGATATAAAGATTTTCAGAAGGACTTGATTTGAAGGCGCCCAGGGTAATACGAAAAGAAGTGTTGTGAATTGTATTCAGACTTTTAAGGTGAGTGTCGGAAGTTGATATGTAGAGAATGCTTCCGTAATCCAACCTAGAGCGGATCAGTATTCTGTAAATTCTTAAGAGGACTTTCTCTTCTGCCCTCCATTGATAATGCGGTGGAGTTTTTAAGATATTGATTCTATTTAGGTAGTTTATTTTTGTATTTTGTATCTGATCTCTCCATGTAAATCTTTTATCGAGTATTACTTCAAAATTATAATTTAAAAATACACTCGTATAAGTAAAAATTATTATATTTTTAGTTTTAGTCCTTTATTAACTAGAAAATACGAAAATAACAAATAAAAAACACACCAAACTGTAATATTTTATTAGTCCTTTCATTTTCACAATAACGTTGCAGGTGGTGTACAACTAACAACAATCATGTCGGTCGACTAAGACTTATTATTATTAATATTATTAATAATATTATTATATAACAACGTGAACAGCCTTACTAACTATAGGTACTCAGGCAACTACAACGTGTTTGTTTCACAGCTTTTATGAAACAATTACTGGTAATAAGTGTATGAATACAAAAGGTTTTCATTCTACATTCGCTTTTGAATATAAACTGCAAATAATAACAGTGTTTTACAAAAAATGTTAGTTCTATTTATTAGTTAATAATTAAATTGATTTTTAAAAGTTTATATGTCATTTTAGTATTTTTTAAGAGAATTGAAGTATAGTAAAATCTTATTTATT